GAGTGTCAGAGGCTTTCGTTATATATGTAATTATAGATTGTAGATTTTAATTGGATACTTATCTGTTCAGAGGTTGGGACGAGAGAAATACGGTAGCCGAGAGTTTTATTTGGAGCGAAAGTTACAGTTTCAATCATTCCTGTAATTCCGAGATGCGTAATGCATTTTGGAATCCGTGCAAAGGGTGCACTTGACTACATGTTTGCAGTTGAGTCTTATCATCACAGGAGAGAGGAGAGGAGAGGAGGGGAGCTGAGATGAGATGAGAAGCAGTGCTGCACAGGTCATGATCATCCGGCTCCTTCCTCCTTCATCGTCACCCAACATCCGGGTTCAGTTCATCATACTTCCTCTATGGTTCAGTCCTCTGCTTGTTGATGTCTGGTACTTCCGTGTCTCGCCTAATCTGACTACCCACACAATTTACCTCGATGTATGTTTTTCTTTTGTCTCTGTGTCTCGATCCCCGTTCCGACCTGGAGCTATGGAAGAACCTCTTACAGGCACTTCATCTCCGAGCGTGGATCTGACCCTTCCGTGGAAGCATCCGAGTCATAGATCTTTTTACTGGATGCCTGTTCGATGCCGTATACTCATTTTAGGCTGAGAGTCTATACTGTGCACATCTTTACCAGTTTAACTGCTCGGGAATTTGTTATGCATGAGGTTGGATCTGATTCAGCAGATCTACAAGATCGTCTCTGTCTTCTCTCTCGGAGTATCGTATTGACATGGAGTATATCTTCTTAGATACACTTCGAAGCGAGATAGACAGCGAGCGAGTAGAGGGCCTAAAAGGACATGTAGTCACAATGGTATGAAAGACGGAAAGGAGCAGTAGGCTCTAGATATTGTGCTCATAAAATTACAGCTTGTCGGCCAATTTGGGTCCTGACCACTTGGGCTCGTAGGCAACAGTCTCATGCGAAGTGTAGACAGACGAATCTCCGATTCACTTAAGGTCATAGACAGCTCAGGACCGATCGCATCAGAATTAGAAACCATCACAAACACTGGGGAGTCGGGACCTCATGCATGTACTGGAGCAATGTACCAGCGGCGAGTGCTCCCGGTGGCCTTCATGAGCACACTCACTGCAGTGTCTGTGTCCAGGTCGGGCTCTGGGTCTATGGTCGCAAGGCTATGAAGAGAGCAGAGCAGAGCAGAGCAGAGCAAAGCACCTTTATGAGGACACCAGAGACTGTCCGGTCTAGCTTTATTCGATCGAAGCTGGTGGAAACATTCGTATACGTGAAGGATCCAATTTTTTATCTTTACGAGGGGCATCTTAAAAAAGGTTACCGGCGACCATATCCCCACTCGTACACGGTCATAGTGTCGTAACACGATTTTGATTTTTCTGTCTGCCCTAAATTTGTCCGTGCTGGAAATCGCCGAGACAGTGGATTTTTCCGCAATGAATGTGATTGAGGGAGGGAGGGTTTAATTGTTCTCTCTCGAGCTCCAGTTCATACAGTAGCTCGGCTTGTCCGGCATAATCCTCCGCAGCTCAAAGAAAGAAACTGGCCAGAAGGCGATAAGAAGATTCTGTGGGGTCTTGGCGTGGAGATCCAGCGGAAAGTTCACGAGAACCGGTTTCGCGACTTCTTTAAACAGAATGTCAACCTCCGACGCAGAATGTCAAGGAACGATATCTTGATTCTTCTGGCCCTCTCACGGGCATTACGGCACCGTAGACGCAGTCACCCGCCCAGGAGCTTACAGGCGCAACGCTATCTGCTCTGCTCTGGTGCGTTGTAATGCGAGCTCAACATCGTCTCGGTCCCCCCGCCTCTGCCCTCCACGCTGTCAGCCCCGGCGCGTCGCCCCACTGAGCTTTGGACGCTTTCTCTTTCGTACACGTTACTCCACAGTGGCAGATATGTTAACCACGCCACTCATTGGCAGACGAAAATCCAAAGACCCCGAGTGCAATTTGGTCTGAGCTACAGCGCTTTCTAATTCCCAAGCCACTGACTCCGTGTTAGGATTAGAGTTATATGTAGCCGTATAATCCAACTTAACAATGTTCGTGAGACGATATGCACATCATGCCTTGTTAAATGTTAAGTGTGTCTTTATTTAGTTATCCATTTGATAATATAATTCATTCTATCGCCTTAAAAATAGCACTAAGTATTGTATATCATGAAAGAATGAGTTTCTATTTTCATAAAAAAAAACACTAGTGAATATGACCTTTAGAAGAGCAATCAAAATTTCTCTCTTTTATCTGTTTTCATCGTTAAAAAGAAGATAAGTGAGTGGTATCGATAAAACGACGCCAGATGATGATTCTTATATGCTAATGTAAAGTCTAGATCAATGAAAATCTGGTCCAATATTATAGAAGGATAGGGAATCTTTCGGGATATTTATTCAACGTTATTGTTTGGATTCGTAAGTGTACGGTTTGATAGTGCAATCCCATACTTTCTGCTGTATCACTTGGAGTCCACCTTTTCATCCCGACACCAAAAAATAGCTTTTTTGTGAGAAGGCTTCAAAGTCAGTTGCAAAGAATGATCGTGGACCGATCGGCCAGATGGAGGATTGAACAAATTGCAGGCAATGCTGAGGCCCTCCCTCACTTCAAGTTGGGGACACAGCCTTCGAGGCAAGGCGAAGGGAGGTCACCGCGTCGGCCACCGAGTCCTTTCACCTGCTCTTCGATGTCGACCCCCTCGCCCCCACAAGACTTGAGCTGGAGTCACTGGCACTTCGGTCTCTCCATAGCTTGGCTCCAGACATTGTAGCCGAGGAGGTGGGTGAATGCTGGCCGGAATGGGGACACATAGTCTTTGCACCGACTTCGCCTTGCCCTTAATGGTACCGAGGGGTGATGTGGACGCCGAGCAGCAACAAATAAATCGCTAGGACGAGGAAGAATCTTCAGTCAAGCGAGGGATGTCTCGGGTTGCTAAGTAGCTGCAGTGTACTGACGCTTGATGGACATAGACATGGCAATGCAATGCACTCACTCACTCACTCGATGGACCACAGCCAAAAGGGTCTCAGGCTGTATCAGTGAATCGATACGGTCGATTCACAGAGCTAGATGGCCACTAGACCGGAACTGCGATGATATTTTCAACCCAAATGTGATTCTCTGAGTGTCAAATACACACCGAGCGGGAGTGTAAGAGTAAATAAAATTTCCACCATAGCAGCACTCTGAAATGCAACGATGGAGTTCGACATGCTAAAATTACATCGAGGAACATCGTCAGGACTCTGGACCGGTACTGCCGGTCACAGCGTTCTCGATTTCGTGTGCCTACACCATTGTCCCTCGGCGTTGGGGCCAGTGAAAATCCCCAGACATTTCTGAATTTCGACCCTGATTCATCCCACGAATCCCTCGCAGCGCATCGTCCGAAGAATGGCATTTGCAACACACCAGCTTCGGTCTCCTTTCCACTGCATGGGAGACAAAAGCGAGATGGGAGAGCAGATGGGGCTGGGAGGGATGGCGTAGGACCGGAATTAGAGACAATCATCACCGAGCTTCGAAGCTCGTGAAATGTTCCCCGCGAGGACGGCACGAGAGCGCGCGCTCAGGCTCATGCCAATCCGGAAGCGGATGCAAATCACGGGGCCGCATATCCACATGGTCGCTCATGCAATTCTGGGTGCGTGCTGGCCTGCCGCCGACGGGGCGGACGAGAGCCGAGTGGGAGCGTGAGTCAGCAACCATGTGAGATGTCCCCGACATTTGCGACTTCCGAAATGTGTCCAACCGGGTAGCCAGGCGTGACGGGGACTCTGGGACCTGGTCGGCCCTGGAGATGAATCCACCGGAACGGATCAGAACAGAACCGAACAGAACCGAACCGAACAGAACAGAACTGAACTGAGCTGAGCCGAACGGATTAGTACAGTTCTGAGTGCTCTATCCAGATTCCAGAAGCCTGTCTCGTCTGCGTTCTGCCAATTCTGAGTCCACCGACCAAGTCCGGTACATTCTAGAGTAAAATAAACGAGGGTCCATTACGGAAATGTGTCCGTCCAGGTAGCAGTGGCGACTGATGTTGGGCCCCCGTCGGGAACACCGCACTAGAGGACAAAATCTTCCGTCAGCGCGTGCATGCGCTGTCTTACAGTCGAGGAGTGCTTTGCCCTTGTCTTCCTCTTCTCGGTCTCGACTTTACTTTACCGTGCTGACTCAGGGCCGAAGCAGAAGAGAGGGTGGCATGTGCGACGGAGGTTCATGAATGGGCGAGGGGCAGCGCGGGGAGGGAGGAGGAGGGAGGACGCGCTTCTGTTATCGTCTTTACTTTGGGTAAAGTCAAGTCTGCCTCGAAAAGGCAGAGTGGCATGGGCAGCGCATCTGCTGAATATGCTCGCATCATACATGGGCATATGCTTGCAACCGGTGAATGACACCTTTCGCCTCTCGGGCTGCATGGCATGGCTTCTTCTCGAAATCTCGGCAGGTTTGAATTCCAGCAGCGGAACGGTAAAGACAAATGGATACGAGCTGTGCTTGATTTCCACAAGGAGCTTTTACGAGGAGAGAGAAAGAGAGAAGGAGTGAGAGAGTAGTGAGGTGAGACTGCTGGTCACGCATACACATAACGAATCATCAGCTTGTATTTTTTAAAGGGACACTCTTCCCGCAAAGCTCATTTCTATTGCGACGATATATAAGACCAATCAGTCGCAGCCGCGGTAATCGCTGCAGTAGCAGGTGATTTGCTCAAATCATGACTGTACTCACGTTCGAGACAAGTGGCAGTATGTACAGTGGGCAGCAGCTTCGTACTAAGGGCACTACTCGAAATCCAAGTGGCGAAAAATGTGATAAATTATTATAATTTCAACACTGTCATCTGGATGTAGACCTGGCTTATAATCAGAGGACATCGTTCGAATACTCGTGGATTGAGAGTGTAAAACTTATTTCGTTTTGTCAGCCCAGAAGGGTGTTTGTGACAGAGACATGAATTACAAGAATCACATATTTACAAGAACTGGGCCAAAATGTCGGAGACGGTATGGATGCAACGAGAACAATACAATCTCTTTATAATAGAATTCGTCATTTCCTGGCTACAAGTTTTGATTGCTGGTTGCAGCCAGATTGTTGGCATCTCTACTACATGGCTCCGGCTTAGAGCTGAAATGCCAAAACCGCTCAAAAGATACTCAAACACCGTGAGTGGGAGCGCATCCCACCCTTTATCCACGTCGTTTCTTTCTGTGGATGATAACATGATACTTACAAATCGCCATCTACACCTAGCATGTGTAAAATCATAACAAATCCTAACGATTTAAACAAAATCGCCTGCTGGAGTGGGCCAAGAAAAAAATACAGATAATTTTTCTGTTGTACCTCCCAAGACCACCCTCAAATTTAATCGTTTCATGGTTCCTAGCGAATAGCCGCATCCTCGCTCATTATTCAGTCATCTCGGAACAAAACCTGGATACTCAAGCCTCTACTCCGGCAAGCAGTTCCATGTGGAATAATAGGCTTTACAACCTCGTCGTTGCTGCTGCTCTCATACTGGTACACTTCGCCCCGCCTCGGCAGTGATGTTCTCCCCTATCGTGCTGCTGCCCGCGTAAAAGCCATCGGCCTCGCCGATGCTTGCTTGCTGTCCAGCGCCGGAGGTTCAAGACCCTACTCCCAAGGCCGAAGCGAAATCAAGAGCCAAATCCTCTTGACTATAAACGGTGATTGACACATCAACTATGGACAATATACATGATGAATTGGTACATAATGTACAGGCGTGGTTCTCCTTCTCTTTTTCTTTCCGAAGTGTCCACAGCCAATGTGTGTATGTGTGTGAATGCCTAAACTTAAATATCAAACGTCAAAAAATCATTCCTCTACTAAATCGCCACCGAATAGAACTGTCCCCTCCAATCACGTCCCCAAGCCGACAAAGTCGTCGCGGTCGCTGCTCTTGGGAGAGCAGCTGTGGCGGCCAGATCTCCCCCGCCTCCAGCGATGGCGACGCCGTGTCCGCGCACTATCCTCGGAGCTCGTCGCGGTGAAAGTTCCACGTTCTCACTCGGTGCTTGCCACTATCTGCCCGCTACAGCGAAATCCTTCTTCTCCAGAGCTGAGACCGACGACTGAGGGATCCTCTTCTCGACGAGTCGCAAGCCCGAGAGCATGTGGTGGGCGCCTCGGACGACGCCCTCCGGCTCCGTCGTCCCTTCCTGCTTCTTGAAAGCCATCGCCGACGTGGGCTGCTTGTTGGTCCAGTCAATGCCATTGCTCTCGCGCAGCACCTTTCGTTGGTCGGCGGCCTTTTGGAAGCTCGTCTCCATCTCCGCGGTGAACCGCGAGTCGCGGCCGACGCCGATGAACCCGCCCATGCGTCCGAAATCGACCCCGTTGTGCTCGCGGCTGGAGCTGGCGGGAGCTTCGTTGGTCGTTCGCCGGTACGAGGTGAACCACTTGGCCCTGATGTACTCGGCCTTCCTCCACGGAGGCACGGGCATGTCCTTCTTCTTCAGCGATCGCTTCGCGGCGTCACACAAAATATTCACAATCTGCTGCAGCCGATCGGCCTTGCCCACGAAGATGGCGGGCACGATTTGCAGAAGCGCAGCGTATTGCGGGGTCGGACGAGCGATCTCGAACTGCGACTTGAAGTTAATGTCGACGATGATCCTCTCCGTGAGGGCACCGAGACCTCCCAAGATTACATCAGTGTACTCGTAATCACCTGAACAAGAAAAGGAAAGAACCACACGCTCAGATTCCAGTCCGACCTCTCACTCGCAAGAACCAAATCCATGCGCACGATAAAGCTGCAATCGCGTGAAAACACAAATTTCCGCCTCGGTGTCGAGAACTGACCTCCTGGAAAGCCCCCGGCGTGCTCCCATCGCGACTTGCAGATCGCGGCATTGTAGCCGGACGATCGAAGGCTGCTCATGACCCCGCGCATGAGGAAGCTGCGCTCTGCCTTCCCGTCCTCGTCCGACTCGGACTGGTCGTCGAACTTCTGGACAGCCGAGCTGACAGCGGCCAGAATCGCGCTCTCGGTGGCACTGACGCATGGAATCAACCCCTGCAGTTGCAAAGACGGGCAAACACGAGTTTAGAACGAATGTCCAGAGGCGGGGGACGGATCGACGACTGGAATGCGAGAGAGAGATAGGGGAGGAGAGGGCGTGCGACGGGTCGTGTACCTGGAGAACCTCCGCGATCTCTCCGCCGAGGGTGGATTTCGCGTCGTCGGCGTCAGCGCTCTGGGAAGAGTCGCCGCACGAGCCGCTGTCGCAATTGCAGCGGGCGCGGCCGCATTTGCCCGTCTCCTCTTCGTCGTCCTCCATGAATTCGTGCACCATCTCCGCCAGGCACACGGAGTCGATTTCGTGCTTGCTGCCGCTGCTGCTGTAGTTGCTGCCGACGCGCTGCGAAATGTCGAGCCCGTGGCTCGTGCGCAGCTTGGCCTTCAGCACGTCGCCCATGGGATCATTGACCTGCTTGGGCCGCGCGGGCTGCCCCGCGAGAGGCACTTGAGGAACCATCGGGGCCGCACGGCTGAACGCCGGCGCCCTGAAGGCACCCCCGTGCCGCACAAATGCTCCTGCTGCAGCCGAGGGAGCCCGGCCGCTCTGCACTACGAGCGACCTGTCATCGCGGCCCTTCTCGGTCCTCGACGACGACGAACTGACAGCATTTTTGGACCCGGCGCTTTTGGCCGTTTTCGAGGCCGAGCCGAGGCCCGGGCGAAGTGTCAACAGTCCAGGCATGGCGACCACTTCTCGATACGATTGCTGGATGAGGCGATGGAAGGGGGTTTCTGAACTCGAGGTGATGAAGTCGCCGAATGAGGGGGAGAAAGCGCGAAGCTGCTGGACTAAAACGCACCGAAACTATTACTACTGCTACTACTATCCAACGCTATCAAAGAAAAAGAACGACGAAATACGATGGACGCAAAACAGCATCTCATCAAAACGCTCGGGGAACTCGAAATTATCTGGTTTTAGCGAAATGTGAACGAATGATTCGCAGCACCAACAGAACTGGGCCTGGCTCAGCCCTGCACCGCGCTGCAATCACCGCACCACACCGCACCGCACTAGCACTACACTATGGATCTCTCCGCGTCGAATGTTTGCTAAGGCTCCGCTCACTAAAATCTGCCTCCCTCCGCTTCGAAACGAGGTGATTCCTCCCGCAAATCCAAACTCCTGACGATTCAATTTTCTAACGCCGAGTAGCAATGGAACTCGGCCGGAGAAGCCAAAGATCCGAACTGCTGCTGTATGTACAATACACAGGTACAGGTTTTCAGAGAAACTTTTTCAACTCGTGAATGGTGGTGAACAGATTGGGCCAAACGGTGAAATGGTATGGGGTTTTATATTGATGATGGCTCGGGTGTGTGCACTGAGACGAAATACACGAGAACGGATGACAATGAGTGACGACGACGAAGGATGAACGACCGCGATTGATGAAAGGACGATGGAAAGAAATGACACGAAATGGGAGAAGAGCGAGAGAGAGAGAGGGGGGGAGAGGGAGAAGGAGGGGGAGAAGGAGTGGAGATGCAGAGGGTGCGAGAGGTGCAAGAGGTGCGTCGAGGCTTACTGTCGCCCATGGACCTTATGAAGGCATCGATCGGGCCGAGAGGCCGAGAACGACAAAGAGGGGCGGATGAGCGAGCGAGCCAGCGAGCCACAGCGAGAGCGAGCGGGCGACTGAAGGCCCACGACAAAACGAGCCCGGGACTCCTCCTCCTCCTCCTGCTGCTCCTGCTCCTCCTGCTCCGCGACGAGAGGGAGGCGGAGGCGCTCGCAGGATCCGGATTCCGTAACAGATTCCTTCGCATTTCGCATCGCTCTCGTCTGTTCAGCAGCAGAGGCCGCATCCCGGTAAACGTCTGTTGAAGACCTTTGGGGCGAATTGGGGTACAGACTGCTCTGTTCTGCTCTCGGTCAGCTTCTCGCGGGCAGGGGCAGGGGGGCAGCAGCTCCGCGGAAATCATTCGGATCCCTGGGGCTCTCTCTGGGGGTCAGTCAGTCTGCACTCCTTCTTCCTCTGTCTGTCAGCAGCGTTTGTCCGCTTCGACCTCCTCCTCCTCCTCCTTCTCGTCTTCGTGGAATGTCCATCTGGCTGCTGCTACTTCTGGAGGCCCTGGTGCTTCTTCGTCACTCGCCTCCACCAACCTCCATTCCTAGCTACTGCGTTAAGAGGGGGTGCAAATTGGGCATATCTCATGAACATGCCTCCGGATCGAATAAATAAAAAAACGAGGGCGACATAGTCTAACGGCAGGTTTGGTGACAAAGGGGGTTGGCCATTAATTTCAAGATATTCCAAGCACTCGATTGTGCTACGATTGCAGAGGAGTTTGAAAGGCCCGCATAGCTGAGTCAATTCGGCCATTGACATTTCAAATCATACTAGATTGAGAATGTGTAGGATCTTGAGTTAGGTTGGTGGGTACAGTAGAGCCGCAATAGCCCTACATCTTAATTCCATTCCTAACTAATTTTCATATTAGTTAGGAATTTTGCATGCATCCATGGGGGAGTGGTCAACTTCGGAGATTTTGGATGATGAGCAAGAGGAGATTTAATGTTTTGATTAACCAATTTTTGCATATAATCGAAGGATTACCATGATTGGTTGATCAGCATACCATAATTACTTTCAAATAGATGATTATTTAGGTGATTCTATAAAAAAAAAAATCCAGGTGGTTGCATCAAAAATAACAATTGGTTTTACAGTCAACTTGTTATCTGATGTTGTGATTTTAATATTGTTCCACTTCCAATAAATTTATCCACCCAAGCTTGAAGTTTCTCCCTCCTGAGATGATATTGTTTAGCACTTTTCGATATTTCTTCACACTGAAATTTTTTTCTAAGTTAAATAAGTAGGGAAATTGGAACCATAAGAGCATGATAACACTAGAATCAAAGACTCGGGTCAGAGAGTTGTTTTATTTTGTGTCATTCGGCCGCATTATTTTCGACGTCCCTCGCAACCCTTTTACCTCTCCTCACTTATTTCAGACTATACACCAGACTCAAGGGCCTGCCCACACGAGAGGCTCGCAACACTAAGGGAACATGATTTCTACTCCTTGTCATCAAAAGGCGCACCTGGATCAAATGCCCAAAAGATGAACCTCGAGGACGTTCAACAAAAGAACTTCGTCTTCAAACGGAATGGATTTTGTATACAATTTGTAGAAAGAACTGTACTCAGTACGACATGGTTCAATGCGAATGCACAAAGCTCAGCCATATGACACGGTCGGATTTGTGGCATATGAGCCAACAACGTTGCTTTTGGCTTATGTGAGCTCATAATGTAGCCTGGAGATGAACGATCACAAGCTCATATTACTGCAGCACCGACGTATTGTCTAAGTGACCGACCTCGAATGTGCTCCTCGACCCGTGCTGCTTACCTCGAAATATGGTATTAATACTGTATTGACTTATATACTCTCCCTCTCTCGATCCCTCGGCATTTACTCAGCAGGCTTGTTGCTTGCATCGGTTCGAATAACTTTATTTCGTGTAAAATTTCAATATGTCCTCAGATCTGCTTTCCACATGCATGAATCGGGAAGCAACATCAACGCTGCAGTACAAGAAGTCTGAGAGGTGAGGTGGTGAATTTAGTTGCAAATCTCACATTTTCGTTTCATAGAAAAGTGCACACAGTACTTACAAACAATTCTCTTACTTCAGATATTCCATGCAAAAAAGCCATGCAAAAAATGAAGTAGATTCTGCGGCTGGAAGCGAGCAAAAGGGTTCAAAAAATCATGGGGGCTTGGCTTGTCCAAAGAGGCAGCATTTCGGGTCCATTAAGCAAAGCGGGTGGGGAAATCATTGCGCGAGTTTTGTCTACAGGTGTCATTTGGCAGCTTTCTTGCGAGCCCAAAGATTTCGTGAGATTGAATGCCGTGCTCAGCTTTTGGGCGAATACGGAAAAGGGAAAGGCTAGAGGATATGCATAATACGCATCGGCCATTCTTCCCGTCATTCTTTATTTCGAATCGCGAATCGGCGATCCTGCCCTCGGCAGCCGCACGATAATTCGTGCCCCCACACCACCTCCTCGCGTTAGTCATTCGCATTTGGCTCACTCCGCAGCTTTTCGTCGCCCCGTTCGCCATCCGTCGATCGAATGCCCATCCTCCATCGGGCGGCTCTCATCGCATGCATCGGATAACCTTAACGAGCGCCTATGCAAGCGAAGCGGGGAGTGTGCGCGAACAGGACCGGGGGGGTGGCTCCCACAGCGTTGCACACGTTCCTCAACAACGTCTACGCCAGGGAACGGGTCCAGCAGGGGATGACTTTGGGAAGAACAACAGTTTCCACGGTGGACCCCGGCCCCCTGGCCATGTGGGCCCGGGCCCCACAAGCCGCACTGTGGCTGATCCCAGGCCAGGTCTGGCCTGGCCTGGCCAGCTCAGTCTCGGGATGATGCGGACGAGACCTCGTACACGCGATGAATATCGACCCGGTTCGGCTCGGCTAGGCTCGGCCAGGCTCGGCTCTTCCCGCAGTCTTCCCTGTAGGGCCGGGATGGAGATGACTGGTCACCTGTGGATGAGAGAGGGCTCCACGCCCTCCTCGACCGTGCTCCGGGGCTCCGACTATCCACTGAGCACCCCTCTGGACCAATCGAGGACAGTCGAGGTCTGTCTCGGAGCAACTCCTCGGGAGCAGCCTCGTTTTGCGCACTGATGGAAGTTGTGCATTCATCTACCGCCCCTGGAACTGCGAGTGACTTGGGTGTTACACAAACCGAGGGGCTAACCGGGGTTAGCCATGTGCACAGGTGACTAGCGAACTCCCTTAGTACACGTGCCAATAAATGCCATCGTCGAAGGAAAGTCGAGGTTATGGAAACCCTGCAAATAGGCCCGTTTATTCTCGTCGAGTCTTGCACTTTCCGGGGGACGGACGGGGTGACATTGCGCAGTCCCGTCCACTCCTTCAGTGAATCGAGTCCCTCGTATGGTCAGTGGTAGCCGCAGCTCAGGCGTCCCCATACGGTACAGGAGGGCGGCTGGACCAGAAGAGAGTCGAGACCGACTGCGGTGAAGATTTGTTGACCTGACCATGCATGGGCTGCTGGGGGGATATTCCAAGATTTGACTTTACCGATAATATGCACGCCTGACAGAGGAGGATCTGTTGAGACATTCCGGTACATAATCAGGAATATTCGAGGATATATCTATTATGTGGGTTTTGATCGGATGAGGGCCGAGGAGAGTACGATGTGACGCGAACTTGTGTTTATCACGTGGGAGCTGCGACGGCCTCCGTGCAGAATGCGAGAAATTGCCACCGTGGTGGAAACTGGGCCTCGCGGGATCTGACGTGGGCCGTGACTATTGTTCGGTGTTGGATTAGGCAGATTGCGACAAGTCAGCCCGCGGCGCCCCGGCGCTGCAAGCTGGCATTCGCCACACGGTGACGGAGTACATTCTCGCGCATGACGACACGCGTCCGTCCTCGACCGTGCGCTTCATCCGTTACGCTGGCTTGTCCCGGAGCTCCATCCGCTCGTTCGATCCGTCTCCAGATTCCTCGCTACCTGGTAACCCCCGGTTTTCTACCCTCGCGCACCCGTTCTTACCAGGTCCCTTCAAAATCGACCTTTTCGCTGCATGTCGCTCTCATGTCGTCGCCCTGGTGACTGGCGACTGGCGACGGAGCCTGCCTGACAGACTCTGCCTCACGGACGGGCTCCTGCAACCCTGCCCACGGTTCGCAGCGTTCTCCATCCCCGGCCGTCGTCACCTCCAGGCTCTGGCACCCCGACCCCACCCCACCCCACCCAAACCCAAGTACTGGGATTAAGTACATCGTACTATGATCAGTGCTCGGAGTAGTATCACGTACACCTCCTCATACAAACCCTCGGTACGAACTGCCCATACCGCAGTTCGGTACTGTAGTCGCTTTCCACGTGAAGCCTGTGACCAAAAGACTCGATGAACGACCACCTTTACCATCTCGCACCTTCACAGGTCATGGCAGACTTATTTCCGTCACCGGATGAATCGGGAACTGCCAACTCGGACGGGCGCCGGGGCCGACGCAGCTCGTACCTACTGGTCTGCGGACGCCATGGACGTTATGTACTGTAGATCCACAAGTGTATGTGCACTCCGAACCAACATGGAAAACGAGGCCGGGTCCCAGCTCCAGCTTGAGCTGGTCCGCTGGGTCAATGTCGCGACCAGAGTTTGGCGACCAGGAGACCGAGGCCGGGGCCGGGGCCGGGCTGGCCCAGCGAAGAAAGGCGGACATGTACCTCCGCTTTGGACCATACCCCGCGGGTCGAGTTGCGTCGATCTTCTGGACGGATCGAGTCGTAGCATAGGGTTGGCGCGGGGCCAAGAAAGGCGCCGGGGATGGAGAAGGTGTGACGTTCTGACACGAAGTGACGATGGATGATGCTGCCCACTCGATCCGATCGCATCGGGCCTCGTCGAAATGACGGGCGGCGATGCACTCGATCCAGTCCGGACCCTTCGCCCGCGAGCCCGGTCGAGCAGCGCGAACCCGGCCGAGGTGCAAAAGTCTGGGGTCGAGCTTATCTCCGCCGCTTGCTCGCCGGACCCGAGCCCGGGCCTCGTCCCCGCCGGGCAGTTCGTGCCGACTCCGCTCGGCTCCGCAGGTCCGACTCGCGTCGGCGCGATCGGAGCGCAGGTTAGGGTTTGAATGCGTTCGAATCGCACTCGATGTGCCGAACATGCGACGCGGAAACGCGTGCAATCCTTGACCCGAGGTCTGTGACAAGAAGCCAAATCTTTAGGTTTGTCACCAAATTGCGGTTTGCGATCCCCGAAGATGATTACGAGCTCGATTTGCTTCTTGTTAGGTGCAACGATTGAGTTCCCCGGCCTCAGCAGGTGTGATGGAATCGGGCACATTTGGGAAACCCCGGGGCTGTATTGGATGCGTCTTGATCCACGGTCTTTCCAGGGAGTCGAATTTTATATTTAGTGGGAATCGATCTTAAGTGACAGGTTTGAAACAATGCAGAATTGTCCACCGGTGTAGCTTCGGCTACATGTTACAGATTCTTTAAGAGCATCCGGATACAGGATGCCTCGACAGTGACAATGTGCACCAGAAATGTGCCTCGTTTTCGGTATAAGCAGTCGCGTCGCTGGTACTGAAAAAGAACTTGTTCAAGCTGTCCACAATGTCAGACGCGTGAGACACAATCACGATGGTATCAAGTACTCTGCACGTTTCTTAATTTTAGAGTTTAAGCCGGTGCAATCCGAGCGCAGAAACTCGACGCAGAGTGTAATGAAAACTTGCACTCCACCTTGAAACGTTCAGGAATAAACTGCAAATCACATGTTTCGATTCCAGAGTGTGAGAGCAGGATCGTCGTGGAGATCCGGGAGTAAATTATGGGGAAAAATACAGTCCGACGGTCTGTGCCTGCTCTCGTGGACTCACATGGAGCTCGAGCACGATCCGAGAGGCGAGAAAGGACGTCATCCGAAGGCGGACGATGACAGAGCTCATCAAGTCGAGCAAAGAGAACAGAAGTTCCGGTTGGGGTGAGGAACAAGCTGCACATGGATCGGTTTTCAAACACGTAGCTCAGCTGGCATTGAATGCGAGAGGAGCGGGAAAGATTCACTCGGAATCTTGGGTTGCGAAAGATCGACCGAGCTTGGTTCTCCACACGGTCTCAGCCTCAGAGCCGCTTCGGCAGCTCTTCAGCTTGACGCTCACTTCTTGCAGACGAATGAATCTCTTCTTTGTCGTCCTCCATCTGCTCTGCTTGTAGGACACTCAACCTTCAAGGCCGAAGCAGTTGGCCGCCGTCTGGTCCGAATCTTCTTATCTCCACGTGAGATGGTCGAGAGCAGCTTAGCGAAGAGTCAAGCAGAAGACGCCGAAACGAGTTTAGCTACAATCCTTGCAGCTCTCGCCAAAGGCTCACTGACAGACATACTTCACGCACACGCTCTTTTTTCCTCCTCCTCCTCCTCCCTCCTCCCTCCTCCCTCACTCCTCCTTCTTTCTTTCTTCCTTCCTCCCTTCCAGACCTTCGCGATTTGAATCTACCGAACTAAACTGCCGATCCTCCTCGTCGCTCTTTAGAATAATGAAGAACTTTGCGTTGCAAGAATCCGTTGCACATACTTTACTCCACGGGAACGATTACTTCAAGAGCGCAGAGTGATCATTACACGCATTGAGATTTTGGGGAATCCCCGCTTGCATGAGTAGGCAAATTATTCACTCCCCGGAATTGGAGACTTAAATTTCGGATATAAAGAATAATATACTTCCCCCACTTTTTAACTTTTTAATTGTCTTTTTATTTCTTTTCATTCTCCAATAAATCCGGGGCTGGATAGTGAGTGGCATTGCTGTTTGGCGAGAATCTGTCTGTTGATGACTCTGATTTTCTTATAACCTTTTTCGATGACAACAGACTGCTCGGTGGAGAAAGGGACGAAACCTTCTCCCCTTCGGTGGCTCGTACGAATTGAGATATGAAGGAAGACTTTGACGAGACTCATCATGACCTGCTTATTGGGGAGAGCGAAGCGGTACTGCGATCTAAACCACTACAGGATCTTCTGCGAAAGCTATTCTACAATTTCCCATTCCTCTCTGAAAGAAGTACAATTATATCTAACGGATAGTCACGGACCGATCATATATTTTAGAGTATGCTTCTACAAGTGGACCACCGTGGAGTAAGTTGGTTTGGCACTTGTGGCCGCACTGCATCATGATAAAACCTACACAAGTGTTGGACAAGATCACAAATACATTTCAGAGTAGTAGACTTCTCGAAATAGAACGCGATAAGCTCTCTAAGAAATTATCCTAAACACTCAATCTTTCATGGAGATTGAAGTTGGAAGGCTAGCAATCTACAAGTGGGGAAAAATGTTGCAATCTTTGAAACGGGCTGACTTCAATGGCTATGACATTTTTTGTCGTTTGTGAGATTGGTGTGTATACAAGTAGACTAGTGGTAGTGCTCACCACTTGTACCATAGATGTATCGTTCAATAGATATTATCTTTTTAAAATTCATCATTATCCAATTATGTCATTGCAGATATCAACGGCACATACATTATGTAGGTTGAATATCATGACTTTTGTCATTGTCAAATCACAAAATATATTTAATTTTAAGCAAGGTTCACAAATTCAATTAGAAAAATAATTCTGATACAATAATGTTGATGTTTGAATATTTATCTAAGATACGAATCAATAATATGTACGATAAAATATTTATATGCATGAAAAATTTGAAAAATGAATTTGAAATTTGAGAAATGCATCAGATAAATATGTGTACATATGAGCAGATACAAGAATTGAAATGAATTTTGCTCGTGGTGACCTCGCATAAGATTTTTATTACAGCCGAAAACGCCATGTGAAACCTAAACCTTAAACTATAAATTGACGCTCTTTGGATGAAAGCGAGAGAGCAAATGTATCTAACTCCACAACCAACTCTAAGTGTTATATTTGCTGAGCATAAACTCATCTACCGTAACTAAATAGCCGTTATATATGTAGTCACATCGTGTGAGAATAAGTGAATGTTGACAGAACCTGCAAAATGGGAAGGCAAACACAATTTGGCCAAGCACAATCACGTTCATTCCTTGAGTGATTTCTCTAATAGATAAGTTGGGTTTAACATCTTTGCAGTTACAATTGACGGGTGGAGACATAGCCTCCGTTCACTTCACACTTTTGAAAAAAGTACTACATTAATACATTTCAAGATGAAATAAATTCTCAATTGGTTGACAAATAAAACTTGATCTAGAATGGAAGTATGAAAACTTGTCCGCATCATGAACTGTGCGACAGTCCATGCTTCGAGGAATTCTTGTGAACTTTAATTGACCACCAATTGTGGCTCGAAGAACTTCAGTCCATTAGACCTCCGTGTTACTCGGCAGTTGGAGCATGTCATCCCGTAGATATTATGGCCTTCATGGCATTATCATTAGCGTATACAAAGAATATCATTAGCCTCGAAGGTTGGGCTACGATGACTAAAACAATTTTCTTCGCTAGAGCCACGGAGACTACGTGGTTTAGCAGCGCCACAGATCTTTAATATCATCACACGCGACTTAAAGTTACTCCATGCGTTTTCTTAACTTTAAGGTTTCATATCACGTAATTCGATATCACTTGGGTGATTATTGAGATAGTTCGCGAGTGAATTATTAGAATCTGAGGGATTTCAGTGTGTGTACATATATATGTAAAGGAGATAAAATACAAAATCTTATAGACTGAGAAAGTTTATTAACGTATCACGCTAGACTATGATGATATGATTCTCTTTGGAATGTTATTTACTGCATAATATATGCACCCCTAGTATATTATCACACTGAGTGACAATTCTTTAGACGGTACATGAATAGGCAAACTTTTTGGGAAAATGTTTTAGACGAGGCATCCATACGTTGTTGAAGGGTGCTATTAAAAGCACTCCCATGTTTGTTAAGTGAGTCGAGTCTTCCAATTTCGAAGTGGTGGTCAACGGTTGTAGTAGGCTAAGGTGCCGTTGTGAAAGACGATGATTGGTATAATGTATCACAGACATGGTGACGACAATGCGCGGAGGATAAAGTCCCTTCGGCCCCCTACGACCTACAGGTAGGGAACGGAGGTGAGACCTTTCCATGCTGCCGGGCCTTTTCGGACGTTACAAAGCCCAGGTGGCCTTATGACACTTGAGGCTCCACTTTCAGTGAAGAAGCTTCGTATGATCAAGTCCCTCTTGCGAGGCCTTACAAAATTCGCTCGAAGAGGATGAGGAGAGTTGATCGAGTGGAGTCCCTCCCTCGTCTGACAAGCTCGACATGGCTGGACGAAATTGCACACAGAAATATAACCGAACTGTTGAAAGTACCCATCGCTCGAGGTGCAGCTGAGCTGAGAAAACACTTTTTGGGGAAAGAGGAATTCCGCATATGCCGGCCCCAAGTGACGGGAAGATTTGTGAAATCTTGCAGAGATGCTCGATCGAGTCTTCGACACCATAGATCGAGCGAGACGCAGGCTTTGGACTGAAGCGTGCGTGCACTTTCACAACAGAGCACACTACGAACCGTGTTCTCAGAGCGAGAGTGAGAGAGAGAGCGAGCGAGAGCCACAGGCACCTTCTTGCATTCAGGGGCATAGCAGCAGCACTGACAGTCAGATGTAAGATGATAAAGTGCCGAGACCAGTCCAGTCCAGTCCAGTGCAGTGCAGTGCAGTGCACAAGGTGAATGAACACCCTTCCCTTCCCTTGCCTTGCATCGGCCGACCTTGGCGCAGTGCTCTCACCAACAGAGCTTTAGTAACCATACCTCCCCCATCCAGTGGAATGCACATCTTTTGAGACCAACCACAATGTCATGTCAAAGGCCTTGAAAGTGGTTTGCATAGCCTCGTGCTAGTCGGTCGGTCGCGGACCCAAAAGCGAGATGGATGTGTTCCCTTTGTGTGAGTGTTCCAGCGCTTGCCATCGAGGTTTCTGCTGAGTTCATCTGAGCTGAACATCTATGGAGAAGAAGACTGCTTGATGCTCACCACGCGTGTTTGAGAAAGGAGGGGACACAAGGCCAGGGAAGAGATGAAGAGACAGATGTGGATGTCCAGCTGGTGCTGGAGTTTTGCTAGCACTTGTCAGAATTTCGTTCCAGTATGTCCCTGAATTATACATCGGGGCAAGACATACCTCCCTTCACAGGACCTTCGTAAACAACGCTATATATCTTACACGTTATTATTATGAGGTCGATGATTTTATCGCTTGCACTTAAGATCGGTCTCTATTCGAAAATGTCTCTTCGTGCAACTTAAATCATCTCGTGCATGAGCCAACCTTAAACCAGAACTTGAAGAGTTTTAGTGTTAAAGTCATTCTGCATCATATCTCTATCAGTGAAGTTTATTGCAGGGCAACTTCTCCAATTGTGTCATGGAAGAGTGGAAAAAAATTGCCATTACACAAGTTTGCCTCACAAAAAGTCACAACGTCCAAGATTCTCATATGAGACGTGCATATTTATTGTGACCCTCCTCATGTACTTCACCACACAAAGAGCTATGATGAGATTCTCCTTTGTATCTTCTTCCTCACGTTGTATATCATATATATATTATCGTTATATATTCTTGTGTGCATAATCAGAAGCATCATCCATCGATTGTTAATCATGATGAACCCTTCATTGGTCCATATCGTTGTAGGGGATTTCAACCACCACAAGTTTTAATCGGAGAAAGGTTGCAGCAACTTTGTAAGATCATATGATCATTCGGTCAGCTCACCCACTGGAAAGTGAAAATTAAATGAACTTCATGTCACTTGAAGTTTGTAATGTTATGTATATCAAGTCTGGAGATATGTTCAAAGCATTTACGTCCTCAAGACATGACAAACGGAAGATGCTAACAAAATTAGAATGCATAATTTGCAGCATTAACGAAGCCCCAAAGCGAAAACCCTCGTACACGGAAGAATCACGATGCAAAGAGGCAATCGAGAAGCGGAATGGCGAAGATGTGTGCGATCGGCATCCACCCATCGATGCCCTTGCTGATGTCGTCGTGGGGTTTGTGAAGCGGAAGGTGGATCGTCTAATTGGATCGAGTCGAATTGAAGTGCAGTGAAACCAGCCGTACCAAACCGATGACGTCCATGGCGTTGGTCTCTTCCGTGGCTGTTTCTCCTGGCTGCTGCTCTGGTTCAGGGCGAGGTTCTGAGAATCAGGTGTCCGTGGCCAGCTTTGGCCGAAACTGTGGTTCAATTTTTCTGAAGCGATGGGACCCGATGTCGGTGATGAACTCCTCACGGAACACATATTTCAACGGAAGAATGGCCGATTCGAGAAATGTCTGGATTCCGTCGAGCGCAGAGAGCGGCAGGAGGAGCACGGAGACAATTAAGGCTGTGACTAGCTCGACTACACCACCCACCTTAGCTGTACCGGATGTAAGTGACTAATTGTTCCCAATTTTTGGTATTCCGAATGAAATTGAATTTTTTCTAGCAAGCTGAATTCGGAAATCTTCTGCCGGTTGAAGGTCTCAGTAGACTGTATCTGTTTTGCAGGACAGAGTTCTCCAGCAATCCAAGTATGAATTACTGAAACTAGCAAACGAGACAGGCCGGGGCCTGACGGCTTCTGCCGATCAGCGGGCAGAAATTGAAGAAGCCATGGTTAGTGCTCCATCTGTAATTTGATGGTTTTGAAACCCTGGGAGTGGGAATTTGGCCCGTGCAAACGGAAGTTGCATGTGATGGTGGAAATTTTGAAGAATGTAACTTCAGAATTGTCGAGCTCCTTTATATTGCCAACTTCTGTTTGATCATAATTCTTACTTGCAGCAAATGAGCACGACAGGTTGGCGTAGAAAAGTTCGATGCCGGAAAACCCCTTCAACTGGATGATCTCGATGGAACCTGGCTTTTGCAATACACCACAGCCCCAGATGTAGTGGGCATTTTGCAGGCTGCCCAGACTCCCTTCCTCAAGGTATCTACTGCTCATCTCCTTTTCTTCTTCCGTGTTTTCTTACAAGAGGAAGCATATAGTTTAGGTCAAACCTTCGTCTCACTGATGCTCATTACTCTTCTCTGAAAAGAAACTCAACACTGGGTACGCAAAATGTGACTGTTCTAGAAGAGCGAGCCCTCAAGAATTCCATAGACTGACTGAATACGGGGATCAGGTTGGACAGATTTTCCAAAAGTTTGAGTGTCGAGGACGACTCGATGGTGGAAGCGTGAAGAATGTTGTTCGATGGAGCATTCCTAGCATTCTGCAGGTAAGTTGTAGTCACTGAAGAAGAAGTGAATAAGACAATTAGTGTGAGCACAAACATTTTGTATTTCTAGTTCAGGGTTTATGGTTTGTGAAGTACATTATATCAAGGGTTTTGGCCGGACTTTCCAAAACCCTAAACCCTTATCAGACCAGAAGTATCTGATACGTGTATGAATTATGGTCACCTCCGTTGCAGGAAGGCGATGGAGCAACACTTGTTGTGGATGCCAGCTTCTCTGTATGTAGCCCTCGCAGCATCGCCCTCCGCTTCGAAGAGGTATGGGAAGCGAGCACATGGATTACAATCTATTCTCTAAACCATTTGATCAATCATGAATACTCTTACTCGTTCTGCTCTGAGAAAAATAACTCGATGCCTCTCACATATCAAAGATATCTACCAAATCTTTTCTCGAGCCTGGAACTGACTCTTCTTCCCTTCTTTCGATGATGAATGTTTTAACATTCTTTTCAGGCAAAACTGGGTGACATACTTATAAGTGAGGAGCTCCAAGGGTTCATAGCGCCAGCAGTTTTGCCTCGTTCATTTTTCCTATTGCAGGTAATTACTCTGAAATCCTGACCTAGTTCTGCCTTTTAGATGGATTGGGTTCTTTACTCATAGCTGAGTATTCTCTTCCGGGCTGATGGTCCAATTGGACAAAATCTGCACTAACTGCGTGAATGTCCGCCCAGCAGATACTACAGTTTCTGCGCACTCTAGCTATCCGCGTCCCTCTTGTCAGACCACCACGTCCAGGGGGAGAAACTACAACCAGGTAAGATATCTCCACCTCGACGTCATAATCATTTTTTTATAATACAACCATGAGTTGGAGGAGTTTGGCAACTCCGACAGCCGTGCTACGACGTCAGTGAAGAAACCGAGTAAAATCTGTTCAGACGCAGTTCTTGCAAGAGGTTTAGCTGTGCTGAAGATCTCGAAGAACTCATAGTACTGTAATTGGGGTTTATGTGCACTTGGCATATGCAGTTTCACTCGGTTCAGTTGATTTGTTCCACAACTTTAACGTGGTAAGCGCTAAGAGTTGCAACTGTGTGAATGTAGCAGCGTTCCGATCGGACTGCGGTATTATCTCACGTATCTGGACCGTGATATGCTCGTGGGACGCGCCCTTGGCAACGGCGGTATCTTCATCTTCAGTCGAACTCAAAGGCTCGAGCTTTTTTGAATTCACGAGCTCGAGATGCCGATGGGGATCTGAGGAGAGAGATCCGAGCTGCTTCTTGCTTCGTAAGGGTATCCAGAATTTTTACAGAAATTAGAAAGAGGAGGAACGAGAAATATCGAAGCGAATTGTCAACCATTTCCTACTGCTCTCTTGTACAAGCTACCGTCAGGATTCTCTGAGTAGAGGTGCAGATGGCAAGAACGCGGGGAGAGTTTTCCTTTTCTGGAACTCTTCAGCTCTGACTGAGCTCCTTTTCGAACTGCTCTTTATCCATGTACTATTATTTTGTATTCAAGATATAAAGCATTGCTGATGTGCATTTGGACTACGTTGCTGGCATTCCGAATTGAGAACCTTGAATGGCGGATGGATTGGTTTTGAAGATCCGACCAGGATTGAAACATGCGCATGTCCTGCTGACCCAGATCGCGTCACCTCACCTCACCTCGTCCGAAATGGGAGACTTGCTGCTGCTGCTGCTGCTGGGATCCATGTCAGTTTTGTCCCGGCAGTGTGTCATCTCGATTTGAAAAAAGCCGAAATCTCGAATCTTGCTCCAGAACGTGTCCCTCAAAGAGTACCAGTTTTAGTCCACAACCATATCCTCTGCGCCACTTCACTAAAAATATCATGCCTCGAGCTCATTCCGACGTGTACATGCATTTCGGCGAGCAGAAACATCGGAACAACACTGCGATGCGCGCAAGTAAAACTCGTGGCACTCACTGTCCAGGCCTTCCCTCGCAAGAAAGAAAGAAAGAAAGAGCTCGTGGAAGAATTCGCCAATCGGAAGGCGCCGAAGCATTCGAAGGGCGAAGGGCACGAGACTCCAAACGCAGGACCCGGTCTGGAGCGCACATGAGGATGAGGCCCGGACAGGCTGTGTGGATGAGTGTGCACGTCATCCCACGTCCACGTGCCGAGCGATCGCAGCCGTGCTTTCAGCTCCTAATTGCTCCTGGATTTGCGCCCCTCGTCGTTCTTCGTAACCGTCTCGCAATTCGTCTCGAGGAGGAGACATGGCAATCCTTCTTCGTTCGCCTTCCATCGCCCGCCCGGTAACTTCCTCGTCATGCCCAGGAAGCTGCTCCCGGTGACCCGATGCAGCCCGTATCCTTGCCCTGAACCACCTGCAACTGCAGGTAGCCCCTGGCAAGCAAAACGCCCAGATAATCCCAATAAAGCTCGAGATGACACGATGATTTGTCGTCATCGTCGTCTTCTGGTCAGTGCAGTCGCAATCGCAGTCGCACCCCAACAAGTGCAACTTGATCCAGAGATCAGTTGCCAATCGCGATTAGCTTATCCGCAGTCAATGGCAAGTGGTCTATTTCTATAACCGGACCTCAAACCCTTCCGCAACATGTTCCCACGGGCATGACACGATTCAGTTACCTCGACGGTAGAAACCTCGTCGGATTTCGGGTAAGTAAAGCGTAAGTAAACCACGTGAAGGGAGAATCAGTTCAATTACTCAGCCACATGGATTTCTGCTCGAATTAAAGAATATTCTTTATTCGAGAGGACTTCAGGCTGCAAGGCACAAAGGGCTTGTGTGGCTAAATCTGTAACCAGGTATCATCTGGGAGAGTATCATTTGGGATTCCACTTGTCAAGGGAAGGCAGTTAAGGAGACGGCACTGAGCCACGTGCGACGGTCTGGCACCGAATTGCTGCTGCTGGCGGAGATTCCATCCAGATCCCAGGATAACCAGGACATCCCTCGATTCCTGACGGCGAGTGCTTCTCTGCTCTCTCTCTCTCTCTCTGTCTGTCGCCGAATGGCGGCCCTGCCTGCCTGCCTTGGCGACAGCGGCCCATTCAGTTCAATCAATTCCATGTTTCCCGACCTCGAAGGTGTGGCCAGAGGGGCGCAGTCCACCTGTTGGCCTCCGCTTCACAGGAACCACAGTCGCGCAAACCGACAACCTCGTCCGCCTCGTAAATGCGTTCGTTATATACCCGATCCCGGAATCTTCCCTACGCTCCCCCGCCCCCGGCCCCCCCGCGCCTAGGAACGGAGCGCCCTCCAGTCCCCTTCCCCGAAGACACTCCCTTCCCTTCTCGGACGTTGCAGGACAAATAAATCATCACGACACGTGCGGGCATTTGAACTCATGTCGAGTCAGATCAGCGGCTTAGGGGCTCCCCTCCCCGTTGGTCACAATTCGCGAACCAAACTGTAGCCGTTTCGTCAGTTTTTCCGTTACAGAGAGGGGCTGATGGCAGCCGCGGGTGGAAAAGGGCGCGAAGGCACGGGAGGGGGGCGGACTGGGCTTTCACCGAACCTCATGCACAGTCTGGGCTCGACACAACTTAGCACCTAACTTGAGGTTGGCAGGCCGGCCAAGTCAGAGACGACCGCCTTCAAGGAGGGACTTATCATTCCCTGGCGAGCATGACTGGGCCGACTTGGCTTGACGGGAAGGAACAAGACTAAGACGAGCGCGCTGTCGACCTCTACACGAGTTCATCCATGCATGGCAGCGGCTGAGTTGAAGGCCGCGCACAGATGTCTGCCTCGGAAGGCCCCAGGAACGGATGAGGACTCTTAAAGGGCTCCGTTTGGCTCGGCCGTTCTGTTCAATGAGTGCCCGGCGGCTGCCCGCTGCCCGGCCGAGCCCGAGGACTGTCGGACAGGATGACGGATCGGAAGACGGACGCGCCTCATCCACAATCTGCAGGCCCAGATGTCGCCGTCTGAAGTCACGTCACTTTAACTCGAGGTGCAGTCGAGGGAAAGGCACATCGAGACCTCGCTACGGGATAAGCGTCCGGCGTCGAACGGTCTGACGGTCTGCAGACTGCGCACACCGTGACTCACGACCTGACTCGATCGGTCGGTCCCTCGTCGGGACAGGTTCGAACCCATGCATGCCAGGCCAGCGGCATTTGGGCGGCTCGCTTTAACTCGGATCGGGATCTGCGTTCGTTCGTTCGCTCGCCCGGTCCGGAACCGGAGGCGCAGATTGGGAGTTGCAGGAGGCTGCGGTCGGTCTCTGACGCCGGAAACGTTAGGAGCCTCGAGCCTCGGAGGCTGCATTTGCGCGCATGTCACGGACGCACCAAATGCTGGGCGCTCATTCGCGACGCGGGTTACCCCTCATGACTCTCGATTTAACCGCACGCGGGTTGAGGGTAACCCATGTGGGTCAGAACCAAATGCTCCGCGGTCATTGGCTCGCGGGTTAAGTCGCCCTCGTCCCGACGGGCCTACTGGTGTCAACCTCGCAACGGATGCGCGGGGTCGGACGAGCCGGCTTGCGCATCAAGGGCTGTGGATTCGGTGCGTACTTTCTCGTTATTCCTTTCTCGTGCTCAGCTGTAATTCCTGACAAGCATCTTTCCACTGACATTTGTGATAAGCATGCATGAATTTCGCATCGCCTCGTTCTCATCCTGTGATCCTTCGTGGGGTCGCTTTCCCGTCTGGAAAATGTGGCCCGATGTGAGATTGACTTTACAGCAAAAGGGGCGAAATCGAAGCATTCCATCGCGTTTTATCCAACGCCACATGTCGAGTGATGCAAGGGAGTGGTACTATGGGGACAAATATGAATTCATGTCTTCGCACTCATTGAGTGCTCTCCACATCTCGAAGAGGGGCCAAAAATCCTAGCAAGCCTGAACCTAACTACGCACTAGAAGCATTAAGAACTCGTTACAGCTAACAAAGGCCCGTCATTACTCTTGGGGTTCCGCTGGGGCTAAGTCGGCAAGATTCTGGTACTCACTATTGGGTCTACAAAATTTGGGTGGGTTCTTGCTTCCACATCAATGGAATTGAGGGAAGCCGGAGGGATCTCTGTGCGCATCTTGAGGAGGCGAAAAGTTGAATCTCATCGGCGGGATGTAGAACGGCTTGGGCCCACCCATGTCTTCCGGCACTAGGAGGCGATAAGGCAAAACATCGGCTGAAAGCTTCGGCAACTTCGGATTGTGGTCGTGTAACCATCTTGCCAACCATTTCTGTATTTCTCTCGCTTAAGGAATATTTTAAGTCGGTTCTGAAATAGACGCTCTTTCAGTTGTTCAGACCCTGGGGAAGGATAATGATCCGCATCTATAATTTAGGATTCGTATCTAGAAAGCAGAACTCAAACCTAATTGACCAAATTTTAGGTGCCAGTTATGATCTCAGGGGAGGATACGCATGTAGCAATTGGATCGGAGGATGGCCTAGCTTTGGCTAGAGCTGCCAGCCCTTTGATCAGAAGGGGATTGACCTTTTCTTTGAAGTAACTGTCTGCAATCTCTTTATTTGGATACGGCTCGAGAATCACTGCCAGTTCAAATTTCCACCAATCACGCTATGATGCTGGTAGCTGCTAAACAGGCTGAGCGATTAGTTTGGATCAAGTTACGGCGACCCGGGCTTTGCAATGGGAGGTAGGAGTAATTTACAGTGCAAGACGCTTACTGTCTGAGAAAAAGAACTTAATCTCACGACGTGCCCTCTCCGCTGAGTCGCTGCCGTGAATCGCATTGAATCGACCATCTTTCCCAAACATAGCCCGCAAACTGGTCCAAACGGCTTCACAAGTTAGCGTCCATGATCGTAAAGGACGAAATTATCTCGAAATTATCTCCATTACTCACTCACACCGACCAATGTCATGAGCAGCATTACTCACGCAAAAGTTGTTTGCAAAACTGTTGAACGAGCAGTAAGTCACGTACGGTAGGCGAAAGATGGTGTCCTCTACGATTAGACTATCAAGCAGCGGAGTGTACAATACAACACAACATAGGAGCTTGATGAGGCTTGATGAAAGTTCCCTCAAGGATCAAGGTTAGAGATCTCTACATCGTTTTCGTCTTCTGTTCCACTGTGGTTTAGAAACCCTCTTGAGCGTGTGACTGCCGAACACTGTTGGTTCGAACAAGCTACATCACAGTAACTCTTGTAGAACTTGCGGGTGCCATGATGTGAAAGAGCGAATTTTACAAGGTTTGGTGGCAATGATTGTGCTCCATCTCTCTTCTGTTACGGGTAGCATAACCTTTCCGTGTGTCATCCAACCCATAGCTTTTAAGGCAGGGGAAGGAATTACAGGAGAAGGGTTAGGCGGAGACAATAAAATTTTGGACAAGAACCCAACTCTTCTTCAAGGGGGACGAAACCCACGACAGAGAGAGGGATGAGAACCACCCTCGACTGTAACCGGTCACGATTTCCTGTTGCTGTTTTCAAATCTCAGTGATGAATTTCGATGCTACCCACCCCGTTCAGACATGAAAGTATTCCCACGCAAAGGTGTTCAGAAATAAAAAAGGAAGAGGTCGACCTCTGTGCAACGATGCAGTAGAAACGGGAGGGACGGTTCCCTCCTCTTTCTACATGCATTGTCCCCGGAAGTTCAGTTCAAGTCAAGTTCAAGCGTGTTCTCCAAGAGCTACTGTGACACCATCGAGACCGGAGGAACGGATCCCAATAATCGTAGAAATTTCCGTTAATTTGGAAGAATGATTGGGAAGAGCGAGGAGGCGTACCTTTGCGGGTGAGTTCTTCTGGCCTTTGTGGCATCTTTGGGGCCCATGAGGTTTCTGAAGGCACGCACACAATTGTCTCGGGCAAGCGCCATGACAAAGATTGGCCGCCTACACAACAGTGTTTCGATTATGAGTAGTTAATTAGCCACGCATGATTCGTTGAAGTCCTGTATGGATGCGACTCGATTGTGACACAGACGTTTTAAACCACAAAGTTGCAGCATGATCTGGGACCGGAATGCAAGGTCGAAGTAGGCATTTGATCCTTAGTAGAATGAAAAGATTGTGAGCACAAAGGAACAAAGGAACAAACAAATCCAGTAAACAATGGCCGATCGTCGTTGCTATTCATCCTTCTACTGTGCCTTGTGGGAAGAACATTCTCCAATTTTGGGCTGTTTGATGTTTCATATTTTCAAGTAATGATTGTCAGGATGGCTTCAAGGAGGTGGTACCGCATCATGTACTGAATCATGGGTTCATAGTAAGGCGCATTCTTCGTATGATCATCGTAGAACTCCTCTGCTCTCAAGCGAGTCAACTGCGAAGCAAGCCAATGATGGACTCAAACCACTGCTCACTTTGACCAATTATTTTGCCACATGAATCTGCTTACAGTTCAACAACTACGAACAGTGGCAGAGACTTTCGACATCATTGCAACTAATAAACTGTGAACAGTTCGTCCGAGTCAAAAATAGACATCGTCCCTTCGCCTTATCAGAACTCCCCCAGAAGCAATAGTCCAAGCTATCGTGTCCATTTCCATTTCATGCGGAAGTCAAAAAGATTTCTCCATCCCCGCAACAATGCTGTGGACAATTGCCCCTCGAGCAAGAGTCTTCCCTCCTCCTTACCTTCCACCTCCATCATCTAAGCTCTTATCAGAATGCAAACAACGTGCTCATTGTTTGATCTTTCCGCTCTACAATCTTATCCTCAACTCCAACTCACCTCACCTCACATCTCCATCACGACCAGATCTTCTCCAATGTAGGAAGCTTAGATGTTCTGAAAGTGTAACACCGAAGTAAGAGACCCATTGGACCAGGTGTGATTACTCCCTACACCCCCCACGCCCCGATAGGAGCTCCATGGGGGACGAGGGAGCTTCATCCACCGGCGAGAGCTGGTGGAAGAATCGGACCAACTCAGAGCTGCGGAAATAACACAACAACTTCGTGACGAATAAATCGAACGAAGCCCCGGAGCTCCGACCGGAAGAATGGTCATCAAAACGAGTGAAATTTGGACGTGGATCGAGGGAGGGTGGAGAATTGAAACCTTGATGCGGCCCGAATTGAGAATGACAAACTTGTATTTTTTCAACACGTGGAGGATTTCTTTCTTGTACCCAGCTTCGAGGGCGTCTGGCTTGATGATCGCCAGAGTAACCTCCATCGGGAACAAGGCACTACTGACACGAACCATGGTCGCTGGCTTGCTACTTACGCCCACGAGGGCAGAGCGGGTCAAGATGCCGCGGGGCCTCGCTGGGCCTCTGCGATTCGCGCGATCGGCCTCGCGCGAAAGGGCTCAAGGATCGTTCGGGCGCCCTCGAGAATCTTGACGCCGCTCCTGGTTTCTAGAGCTTACTCAGCACATACCGACCGTAACCATCCAGCGTGCGCGCAAAATTGCTCGTTCCATGTCAACGGTAAGTCCACCTCAGTCCCCGACGCTGCCTCGCTCCCCGCCGATTCGCTGCCCACGCGCCCGATTCAAATCGCAGAGCGTCCCGCGCCCCGCGCCCCCCGCGCCCTTCCCGTTCCCGCGCCTCGAACGTTCGAAGATACGGAAAGCTGCGAGCGATCGCCGAATTCGGGGCCCGGGCGCCGAATCAGGCTCAGAATCAGTATCGCGCTCAGAATCCTGCTCGCGGAAGATCCTGCGTCCGAGGCGCTGAAGCTGCGCGCTCAATGTCCAATTCCCAATGTCTGTCTGTCTGTCTAATGAGCAGCGAGGCCTCGACGATTTCAGAGATGGTGTAACTGACTTCTCACAACTGTTCCCACCTTGTGGTCCGTGCCATAACCTCGAACCTCAAACGGCACGGCACTGCACTGCGCTTCTCTGCCACTGTCACTCGTTTCATTCGCAGACGTAGTCGGAATTTAGCTCGAGAGGAGGATCGGGTGCCTTGCGTACCGTCGCTTCTCATTTTTTTCACTGCAGTCTGAGGCATGGCAAACGGAACCGAATAATGTCCAGTTACGTGTACGCCCCAATTTTGCTGGAACATGTCCGATTAGTTTTGCCAATTTTGAACGAGCAAATTCGATCGATTTCGCCATTTTTTTCGGGCGACGAGACATTTGTAGTCGAGGAGTGTCGAGCACTGGAAGTCCGTGGTCGAGGAGCACAGATTGCCGCACTCCACGTCGACTCTGGGACTCACCGGCGTACCGTAGTTGCAGCCTCCACGATCTTGGTGGAGAATTGAGAATCATCTAGGTAGGTTGATGTGCTCAGTTGATGGCTGTGTTTTCCTGAGAGTAGTCAAATTAGATTCGTTAACTTATTCCTCTTCTGCTGACCGAATCCGTCTTCGTTCCAAAGACCGAATCCGGGTTGAGGCCTTTGGCACTGTCAAAGAAACGACAAGATGGAACACCAGGCTTTGAAGGTCGAGATTATGATCTCGAAAGAAGGACTAGAGTTCTTATAGAGTCGACTGCATTTTGTTTAACGGAGATGCTTATTGAAGAAGAGAGTACCAAGTAATATAGGAGAAAGAAAGGAAGACCGCATGAAGTCCTAAAACGATGAAACCAAACGTTTAAATTGAGGTGACTATTTACGTAAAATCGTCTGTAAACAACGCGAGCATCATCAAGTAAATTTAAAGGAACGACATGTCTTTTAGTCGACGTCTTTTGAAGATAGTGATAATAGCAGGTCATGGGAGTATTTGGTATATTCAGTAGCTAGGAGTGTGACGACGGAAGTTTTCGAACAGAGACAAATTTGCAAATTGTTCTGAATTGTTGGCCTAATTTGGATTGAGTACACGGTTTACATGGAGGAAATTATCATATGGACTACAATAGACAGGAGTTAGGATGTATCCAAACTTGTTTACAGAGTAAAAAAGTTAAGGTTGAAAGGGTCGAGCTATTCATACTACACATGAGAAAAATTTGAATGTAACTATCCATCTTCTTGAATGAACTTCAACAATCAAGGTCTCAAGTAGAAGCAATTACACAAATGTTAACTTTTTGTTACTTTACCATTGAAGTTATATAGAGTTATGGATGTGCATTTTGACATGTTTGTGAGGAGTGTGAGAGACTATCATACTAGCCAACACGGTTGTATCATGTTACTTGATCTATTGTGGAGTTTATTTTAGTTAATTTGTTTCCATTGCTATATAATGTGCAACTAACGAATGTCATACATAAAGAAGTGATATTCTTAGACTATAAAGCATCATACTTCACTCTTGTTTGCAGATAGTTTGATCATGATAATTCAAACTTTGTAGACATTGTTTTACATAATTCTAATTAAGATATTGTCAAGCTACAAAGTTCTAGCCGTTTTTTTCTTCTTTGTGAAGCTTGATGAAAAGTATTTATCAATTTTTTGTCATTTAACCGTCATGTTAGCATGTTCATTAGATTATGTTCCACTAGTACAAAAAGAGTGTCACTCTTACCATTAATATACTATGATCTCATTTAGTCTCTCAATATATGTGAAACGATGCATATATAGCTCCATACAATTCCAAGAGGTATCCAAGTAATCGAATAGAAATGTTTTTTTCGTTGCATTTTGATTACATTTGCAAAGATAGCTAATTGATTTACGAGATTGTGTCATGTGTACAATTGATAAATATATGCAAGATTTACCTCATACTACTTATTCAAATTTTAGTAGCCCACTAGTACTCCAAATGTGCTAACCACATTCATTTGCAATAGCAAAATCGTATCAATTATGATGTTATACTACAATATACTTTGCCTAAAGAAATTGCTATACCGTATATGTACATTTTCATTATACGTAAAACTTGCACATTCACAAGGAATCAACTAACATATATATGAATGTACACAGCTATATATCATAAAGATTTAAAACTATCAATTTAACAAGTTGATTTTCTCTCACTGTTACTTATTAAATTACCATAATTTGAATGTAATCATATGCATATACAATGTAAAAAGTTATCAATTAGTGACATTCATGCAAATGTATCAAGCATAAATAAGATAATTACATGGATATTTTATATAACCATAATAATTATTTTTTAGTATATTTCAATTTCAAAATAATTTTTGAAATAATTTTAATTATATAAAAACATTATTCTTTTGATTGGAAGTGATATTTTATTCAATATTTATTTAAGTTATAAAATAAATAATATCATATTATCAAACTGAAAAAAATTATATCTTTTCAAATCAATTTTTTGCTAACATCATAACTTAAAATATCTTTAAGACATTTTTAGGAAGCTTTATTATTATTTAAGTTCTAGTTTTATATGATTGAATTAAAATTAATGTAAAAATATCAAAAGTTTTTAATCTAGTGTGAAAAATATATGTAAAAAATTAACCAAAAAAATGAACTAAAATTTTGTGTTCCACATCATTATAACATATCATTTTAAATATATAGATGAAATTTTATTAAGAATAGTACTTAATCAAAATACTTATTACAGCATTAATTATTGTGATCAATAGTTTTCATGATAATTAAATTTCCAATAAGTGAATTTCAGTTTAAAAAAAATATCATAAATTGAATCTGATACTTGAAAATATATCATCTTTATGAAGTCATATATCAACATGATGCATTTCCATAAAATTTTGTAATTTCTATTGAATATGTATAACATATTGATATATTTCATATATGTATTCAATTTATTTTGATTAGAGTCACAAGACATAATTCATAAATTTTACTTTATGACTTTATAATCAATGTGACTCAATCAACCTCAACAAGATATTTAAATTACTGATATTAAGTTGTCAAAAATACGTAACATGTATGCTAAATCACATATTTGTTTACTACATTACATACACAATATCTAATCTAATACATATTTTTCTATTTATGTAAAGTTTGATCATTTCGATTCGATTTTTAATCAATGTAAGTAAAAGAGTTCTCTAAAAATTCATTTTAATGCTTATTTGTATTATTATTATATTACTTTAATTAATATTACAACTTTACATATCCGAACTCGCTTTTATCAATAATCTAAAGTGGAATACGCCTATTCCTTTGAATATTATCATCTAATATACAGCAAAGATTAATGAAACATTTTTTCATCAATGTCAAATTTACATACACAGGAAATCTTTCGTATGTGTTTACTTTGGAAAAAGGACATGAAATTTCAACAGTTTAAGCAATAAGCACAGGATGTGCTTGTCAGAATAAAAGAGACTTTATTCCGCCGTGCTCATCACTCATAATATAACATGCGGGCTCTGGTCTCACTTTGGTTTTCTTTATTAGAAGTGTACATACTCCTACTAATTACAGTTTATACATCCTTAATGTCCCACGTGTTGATTTCGACTACAATCTCATCTACCTCTCCAGGATTCAGAAAGAAGTTTAAATAGTTCAACAAGACACGAATGATGAAAATTTACGACTTTTTTCATTAATTCATCCTTTCCTCACATGGACATATAGCATACTTTGCCTGCAGGGTGGAAATTGTAAAGTGGACTTGGACCTTAGAGCACACCATAGATCATCGACCTAGATCACAGATCTGCGTGATAGTGCTGATCATCTCCAAACGTAACGGAGAGGGGACAGACCACTTCCATAAAAGCAAATTTTCAGCTTCTTCCTAACAATGTACACCACACAATCTACGCAATCATCTTATTCTGGCGGAGATATACTTCTCGAGCTGATCGGACGAGGCCACGTCATATCCAAAATTGATAAACCGCACGGTAAAAGCGTGGCTGGCAGCGAGCCCATCTGAATCATATTTGAGCTGATTCACACGGCAATTCCAAACTTCACATGACATTTCGACTCGTGGGGAAGGTGAGAATATACTAAAGCTTATGGCACTGACTTCCCTGCTGTTCCAGAGGAGAGTGACATCCACACGGCAGCGGCATCCTCATCACTCAGATCATGTCAGGTGAAACCACAACCACTGGACAGATAGGGGTAGCCAAATTATCCACAACGACCAAGTCTCGACGAAAATGAAGGACGTTCCTTTTCGTCGGACACAACCCTCGTCCTTCCTTGGGAGACAATATTTCTGACAGACATCACCTTTCCGTATACACAATTTCAGCCTGATGACCGAAAGAGGCTCTTTACTCCAAATTGCTACACTTGCTGACAAGAAATGAGCCCCTCTATAAGCTTGAAGAGGGAGTATCACTAAGATCAAGGAGCGAACAGACCCACAAAGTCATCTCCTACCATATACAGGGCAACATGCATCACTACAGATGCGTGAGATTACTTGGAGATTTCTCCATCCCCAAAATGTAGCTTCAATTATCAACATCTTTTAGGTGGGGAGACCATCAAATTAAAAAATTATTCCCAGTGATCTATATATAAACCACCCACGATCTCTAGCGCATGTAATTTAGCTCGAAACAACCAGAACCTTACAAATGGTCTCCGAACATCTACAGTTTTCTCCAATTTACACATGGACATAAAGACACTTCACAGACCAGAACTAGTTTGCAAGATATATCGCTAAAGACTTCGCTGGATGTTACGGGGTAGGGCAGACGCAATTAGCTTCTGTTACTGAATGTAACTTCCTGCCCCTACACTCCTGTGACTCCTGCACTGGATCACTCCTGGAGCTGCATGTGTATGCGTCCCCAAACACAACCCAAAAATTGAACACGGCTTTGTCTAAGTGCTTTGGTGACCTCACCTTTCCCTGTCTCTCCCATCAAAAGGTGTGGAAGGTGAAGAGGGATTGGGTTGAGGCGTCGATGGATCTCTTCGGTCTTTACCAGTGGTGTTCCCTCCATTCCCGTTCCTTGATATTACTAGTTCTCGTTGCTTTGCTGGGGGCGGTATATCGTCGTCTAGCGGAAGAGTTCTCTTCGGCCCGTCCAGTGCCACGCCCAGGACCAAGTTATCTTCGACAGAGCTCAGTCTCGGGACAGGAGCCGCTGGTGTTTTCTCTTCTGTTGCTCGAGTCGCGTTGAGGCCACTCTCTGACTTCTGTTGTACAGTAACACTATGTTGTACAGTGACGGTACTTCCACTCTCCGCCTTTTGTTGTGGTGTGGGGACCGTTGGTTGAGGCATTATTTGAGGTGGCTCCCTCCAAGGATCGTCATGCTGCTCCGAGATGGTCTTGTCTGAGGCGCTTACAGCAACTGCCACTTCCGCTGCCTCATGAGCTGTTGGTAGGCTCGTGGAGTCCACTTTCGGTACCTTTGGAAGCTCAGTCGGAGCTTTACTTACAGACTTTTCTGCGTGGGAAGCATCACTATGGAGTCCAGGGTCGTTGTGTCCTTCCGGAATATTGACTGGGGGTTTCTCAAAGGCGGCCTTTAACAATGTGATGTCATTCGAATTCAGCCCCATGGAATCAAGACCTTCCAGCTGAGACTTCGTACTCGACGGTGCATAAGTCTCTGTTGGGCTCGTACTACCTGGCTTCGAGTTGGCTTCAGCACCCGCAGTTACTTTATCTTTCGACTTTGAGGACTTACCTTTGCTATCAGCGGTCTCCTCACTTGATTCTACCGGCTTTATACCAGCCGCCTTCAATGCAGCCTCTCTTGCAACTTCTGCAGCGAGTTCAGAGAGCTTCACGTCGTCGTCGTCCGAGTCCTCAGCTCTCACATTGGACGCCTCAATCAGCATATACGGTCTCCTCCGCGAATCGTCGTTACCGCGCACGTCCCGGAAGGGTGACTGGCGAGCTTCACCTTCGTCAAGTATACGCTGAACTGAACGGATGGGAGTAGCAAGGCGAGCGTTGTGATGACTGATCACCCTTAATAGGTCCAACAGGATGATTTCCTGTAGAGGCGAATTACACAGAACGAAAATGAGACAAAACTCAACAAATATCACATCGCCTCCATGCCTCATCAGCTAGAGTACATCAAATTTCTGTAAATACGAATGCGATGTTTCAAAGCAAGAGGAAGAGCAAGAAATCTTCTGCTTCTTTGAAGAGGTTAAACCATAATTCCGGACAAAAATAAAAATAATGCAAAACTTAATATTGGTGTTTGAATAGTGGTCGACTTACTTTGACGCGTAAGTACTCCTCAAAGTGTGATGTCTTCACGAAACATGACACCAAGATCTGGAACACAAATTGTGAATTAGGTTTAAGACCAAGCACAGCGTAGATAAACGAAACAAGACCAACTTCGAAATAGCTCAAGTGACTTAAATGAATGGCCGCTCCTACTTTTGAAAATTACCAGCAAGAAAACTTACCAGCAATGCTTGGTTCTCCGGATCAACATTATCAAAAAATGCTCGCCGATGTAACCGCTGCTGTTCGACTTGGGGATGTTTGCTCAAAACCTTCCTCATGTCCGCGACAATATTCTGTATTCGAAGGTCATATTTAGAGAAGCTTGATAAACGAAGATTATGCACAACGCCGCTCGAAGACGAAATCTGCTAAGTACAGTGCAAGCAATTATACTAGCCACTAAGAGGAATCAAAGGACGATAGTCAAAATAAGGCCTCACTGTTATTTTGCCGGCGTCGAGATGACTGATTCCGATATGCGTCTTGATACGCCAATGAGTCTTCTGACTCAGATTTCGCACCACACTGACAGTGAACTTGTGATTCGGAATATGCACGGCCTCCCGATCATCGCCTCTAATGACAGTCGGAGACCACCATCCAACGTGCTGCATATCAAAGGGAACTATCAGGTCCTGGATCTCACTGCTCTCCATGTTCGGCCTTGCAGTCAAGTTACTAAACATCTTTTTACAGTAACCCTGAAGTGAAGGAATACAACAAGAGGCTACACATAATTTTTATAAGCTCGAAGTGAAGTACCTCAACTGTGCCAGAAACCTCCTGACCCTCTATTTTCGTCTGGATCCACTCGTTTTCCACAAATGGTCGGGTTGCATGTATCATGATGCTAGACAAAAAGTTCGTGAATATCTGATATGTCAGGAGTAAATTGTCATTAAACAAGCCGTCAGCTTTTGTTTCCAATAACGCCAGTGAGCTTAAAAACCTTCAACTCGCTTCGGAAAAGTCTATTAGAAAGTAGAAACTACTTCAAAGGTTCGCCGCATTTCATACCTCTCGTCCTGCAAGAGTAAGCAACACCGTTCCAAAACCTCCAGCAGTGATCCACTTTTGGGTAGAGAATCCGAGTAACTCCATGAACAAACAAACTGCAGCAACCCAGACAGATGTATACAATGTGTTCCCAATAAATGACACTCCAATCTGCACAAATTCAAGACACCTCTGTTAGATTGCGCAGGAAGCTGAACTTTTTCACGTCTTCGACCACCCCATAACTAAACAACCTTCCTAACAGACGTTAAAATCGGCTCGGAAGGACAGAAAACGTACATTGCGAGAATCTGGGTTCTCTTGACGCTCCATCATCATCTTTTGAACCTGTTGAGTCAGACTGCAAAGAAGGGGTTCCAGAATAGCCAGAATCCGTCAATAAAATGTAGATAGATGTTGAATGTTTGCAGTGGAGTAATTAAAAATCACAATGGATCTGTCCTCCTTATTATGTCCTTAATAAGCCTGAAGACCATAGACCCCGCACTCTGGCTGAGCGGTACTAGTTTTCCAGAAGATGGAGTGGAGGAAGATAATACTAAAGGAGACGAAGGAGAAAAGAGAGAAAGCTACTTGAGAGTGAAAAGAGTCCCTCTCGAAGTCGGGAAATTTCCCTGTAGATAAAGTTAATTCGAAAATTCCAGGTGTAAAGCAAGAAAACCTGAAGCCATCGATCTGAAGATAAATTTAAAGAGCTACAGTAGGATCTTCCCTCGCTAGTTCATCTGAAAATGTTTGCTTCAGTTACTACTTAAGTTTGTTAAGAGAGTTTCTGGCCTCAGACCAGTGACCATTTCAGGTGGAAGGAAGTGTGCTAGGAGTAACGGTACAACGTATCCATTGTGGTTTATACGGCCAAGAACTGGTTAGGACTTCTGGGTCGAGCTTCTCCTGCACGGGAGGCGTTCAAGTGGGCAAATGTGTGTGCCCGCATCTATCAAAAGAGGACCATTGTAGTTCAGTCTGAGTGAAGAAAACGCTTCATCCCCGCGTTAGGCCAGGTAAGTCACTCATCAACCCATGGCTACCATCCAAGTACCCTTGAATGCGCCAAGAAACCAAAGCCCAACCCATCCCCTGTCCTTCCGAACGATAATATGCCACACGATTTCTTTCCCAAGAGTCTCATTTTCTCTTGATTGATATAAGACCTTAACTAAGTCAAGGAAGAAGTACCGAACGAGACACACCAGAGCCAGGGAGTGGGCAGAGGACATCAAGAAGCTACAACAGATTTCAAATAAGATATCAAAACCTCCTGGATGAGTTCGTTCTAAAGCCCACAGAACCTTTACCCATGATGAGCGACCCTTTAGGTTTGCTTCTTGCCTATTTGCCATACCTGCCGCATAACTTTGGAACTAATGGACAACCTTTAACATGAAGCTTACGATGAAGTTCATACCCAAAGCTTAAAAATGAATCACGAAAATTTGGGCAAAGCCTCGATAATCTTGCTTACCTTGCAGTGCAGTATGCAAAGGCTAGAACGGTCGAAAGCGATCGAACAAAATTTACAAATCGCTCCTTGATGGCGTGACTTGCCTCGGTGGACAACACAACTGGGTCAAAGGCCCTGATACACATTAACCAATGGCCACGTTCGAAATCGTCACCACAACGTCGACGTAAGTCAGCACGTCAGTGTAACCCAATCCAAGACATGATTGTTACATACTTATCAGCTGAGTGAAGTATTCAACATGTATGTCCAAAAGGTAAACATGGCTTGAACAAGATACAACTAACTTCTGTCAGAACTTCGACCCAATAATTCGAACTCTATATACCCCACAACTCAGGCAAATCACTAGCCTAAACCTTTTGCCTGTTTCCAGATTGAAAGTGGAAGTACCTGCATATCCAGATTGTTGCGAACCAAAGAAGAATAGGTCGAATGTACGATGCCGTAGCATGCTGAGTTCTGCTGGTTGCCCACTTGCTGTCCTCCTTCTAGTGGACGAGATATCAGAAGGAATGCAATCAAATCTCATGCGACAAAAATCGTCAAAGCTACAAAGCGAGGACTTTTAGAGGTTTGCCACAAAGAATCGGACAAGAATCAGGGCCCTGGTTACTACTTACCTTTTTCACGATCCTACGTAGAAATCTCATTGTAGGGCCCAATCCCCAAATCGAAAACACCAATAAGGTCACTGCTGGGATACATTGCATCAAAAGTGGAGAACTTTGCAAGGCAGTGAGACTCCTGTTAAGCCAGACAAATTCTCATAAGTACAGTACCCACCGAGCAGTGTTACCCCGAAAACACCTTCTCCAGATACAACGAAGCTTATAATTCAGTTGTTTCCGCAGCTATTAGAATACATGTGAAAGCTACTGAATACAATTTGAAGGCACCACAGTTGACAACAAGCAACACCAAACATTTACAATTGATTTGGCTCGGCGCAAATCCAAGTACCTGTTGTAAATGAAGGTGGCAACTTTCAGCAGAATCGTGGCAACTTTCTTGGGGTCCCCAGGAACATTTGCTATTGCATTAGCTTGAGGACTAACAGCAATAGGGGTAAAGATGACAGCTCGGGGGACCACATTCACATGAGCCCATACCCGTCTGCACCATGCGTCGTGAGCCAATGATTTGCCTATCTGCAAGATGCAGCAAGTAACGGAAGTAAGAACCGGTACAATTTTGCATCAAATCACCAGTCGGGCACGGCAAAGGTAGCAAGAGCTCCAGAACATCCAAAATAGTGCACCGATAAACATACCAAGACATCCGCAGGACTGCCTAGCAGTCCAGAGCGTAGAATGCGAACCCGCTGCGGCTGCTTTACTTGCCATATCTGCAGCAAAATTGAAGTTAAGAATTAGCCCTAGGTTATACACCAGAGAAGGGCAGTTCTGGCAGAAGAGAAGTGATGACAACCCCAATCGCCCGGCGTGGAGGCACTGGCACTCACCGGTGATAAATTAGCATGCTGGACATCCAGACCCCAAGTCCGCACCAGTTGCAATGATCCAATGCTCATTCTTACAGGTGTCTTTTCCACATACTCCGCCCACTCTGCCAAGGGTGGACAAAGCCTTTATACTCGTCTAAATAGAAACAACGAAACCAAGGGCGAAACCGACGAAGCGTCCGAATTCTCGAGCACCTCTGTCCACGGTCCCGCTGATCCGACAATTCTGTCACCTCTAATTCCTCATTCCCTGCTCAACAACTCTTTCGAAGACTAGATACAAACTACCTCCAATCAACAAAATTTCTCCTCGGCAGTACCGGGCACTGAGCCTGGCCTAGCCTGGCCGAGCAGTCCGCTTCCGCTCCTCGTCCCTCGAAAGAACGCAGGCACCGCAGCCACAACAATCTACAACACCATTCGACGCCGTCAAATTGCCCTCAATTACCACTCCCGCAGCGAGGAAAAGGGACCAAACACGCCACACCCTAATCACCTCCTCGGCAGCGCGACGACAGGGGAATCAACTCCGTCGAAAAGCAATCATCGACATCATCCGACCAACTCCCACCGCGCTGCCAATTCCACCCTGAGCAACCACCACCGATCAATCAAAAGCAACCGCAACAGCGAAACTCCAAGAACCCTCGTCGCCGTCGTCTGATCAACAATGAATGACTCGCTCGCTCGTTCGCTCGCTCGCTCGCTCGCTGCCTGGCGCGCCTGTCTACCCTCGTACAACGACCACCACAACGCTGTCGGCTATCATCCCCTTTCTCTCTCTCTCTGGCTCTGGCTCTGCCTCTGCCTCTGCCTTTGGCTCGATGCGATGGCTCGCGTTCGTCCGCTTCTTCGCCCACCAGCAGAAATCTGTCCGATTGCGCTTCGCCGCCGCTGCTTCAGCCTTTCTTTGCCCCGGCCTTTGTCTGCTGCTCTTGACTTCGCTCCCTCGCTTTCGGAGACGCAAGGCCTACGACCGGGACCACGACGACTTCGACCACGACGACGACGAGCTCGGGCGCATCATTCATTCACATCACCGACCCCTCGGAGCAGCAGCAGCGCAGCGCACAGAGCCGAGCAGAGCAGAGCGCCAGCAGCAGCAACAGCGCAGCGGATAAATGCACCACATTAACCGTCAGATCCGAGCGCTGCGAATCCGTCAGATTCCGGCGTTCGCGAATGTCTGAAACCGCGATCGACGACGCCGTGCTCATCCGCTGTTCCCGTCCCGTGTCCCTCCCACGTGTACCTGCATGTGGTCTACCTGGTTCCGCCGACCCCTCCCCCCCTGGTTACAGCAATCCCAACCATAACCGCGGTAGTAGTTGGCGGCCCCTCCCCCACGTTTTCGCTCCTTCTCTCCCTCCCTCCCTTCGCGATGCGTTTCCCAATCATTTCCATGTTTCCGGGCACCCCTTTTTGACCGGCTCGCCACGAGCGCGGTTGGACCCGCGGTCTAGAGTCACTAGACGGGTGGGCTATTTGCCAGGGCCCTCGAAAAATCTCACAAAGGTCTATATTCGCCGGGTTTATCCAATCGGCGCCCGGTCCCTCCCCCGCAGCGTCGAGCCTTCTCGCCGAGGTTTCCGTTGGATTTTCCGGGCCGCGCTTCTGCAACGACCTCATGTTTGGCTGGATTTGCTCGGTACGAGCCGCGCCGGATATTGTTTAATACGACCGCGGATAAGCCTTCAGCATTCCGCACTCGAGGACGGAGGTCCGAAATATTGCGGATATACTATTTTCGTACGCTCGGACGAGTTGCGGTTAGTCCTGGGGGCGTGCGGTCTGTTCAGATTAAGCAGTTGGAATGCTAGACTGGTTTATTTGTCGATAAGATCTCGTATTGACATTTGATTGTTGACTTTGGATCGAAGGAAATTGAATTAAATAATTTTGTGTGTTCAGCATTATCCTCTTGTGTATGTCTAGCCGTTGAGACCTAACTAATGCTCGGAGCGGGTACAGTTTCTAGGTGAGGGGCGAATGAGGCAGGCATACGTGGCCAGATGATTAATGTCATGAGTTCGCCTGTCGTCGTGTTGCCATGAGTACTTCGTTTGAACCTGACGAGATTTGTGTAGTGAGGTTTGGCAATAATGATGTACTCAATATTATTAATACACCGTGATTGGAGTAGATTTGCTCCGGCGATATTCCTCGAATTGAGTACCCGTCACCTGCCTCTCCCTCTTCTTGCTTCTCCTTAAAGCAAGAATAAAATCATGACGAGCCTAATCATCAATTTTAAGAAATATCGCGCAATTATAGATGACAACCGCCTGGTGAGTCTGAATGCTAGGCAGATGTCGAGTTATTAGAGATTTCTGGATGTATTTATGTGTTCCTTAGACAAAACGTTGCAGAATGTATGTGTTCTTTCAGTATATGCTTTGAAACCTCGCTTTCGATTTTGGACTAACCGTAAAGTCGAATACACATGTCACTTCCAGAATCTAAAACTTGATAACTACAAATTCTGGACTTGTTTCCAACCGAATCTGGTTTGAGTGACTGCTTACCAAGATGCACACAAATCAGAAGCCACTGTCCATTGAGGAAAAAAAAAAATTTGTTCTTTTGAATCAAAAATTAGTTTAAATTAAAAAAAATTGGATGTATATATTTAAGTATCGGAGATGTACTTGACTCAAACTGAAGTAAGTGTTTCAAGGTAATAAATTTGTAGTTATCACCGAACATGAATGTCTTCCAAGTATATTCTGAAAAACTAGCATGTTCTATGTTTGCAGACCCACCAGATAAAACCTTTGCGAAGTCTCTAAATTAAATTACATTAAGAAACAAGGAATAAATCAACTTGTTCATATTGACCACTTGTTCTATAGACATGGAAATTACAGACGAAAAACGATATATGTCTTTTGAGGTTATGGGTGTAGCATTCCTTGTGTATCTGTTCTATATGATCATCTTAAGACATAATTACTGTTCTAAACCAAATAACTGAAACACGTGAAGGTAGCCGTCTGCCGGCTAATTTTTTTAAATCGTAAGTTCTCATCTTTCCGGTATGCTTGTCGAAGGCATGCTCTTACGCATCCAAAGTTAAACCAAAGTAATATTGCAAGAACTATTGGAATACTCCATCAAATAGATAGATAGATCCAACAATGAAAGTTATAAATTGAGTTTGTTGAAGAATGCCGACAAGTTTGACACTTGAAACAGAATGCTCCAAGAAAAATTGGTTATGAAGTTATCAAAGGTATAACTAGTGTGTGGGAACACACAATGTAAAACGGTAAAAATAAGAGATAAAGCTTTGGGAAGAGCCATCGCACATTGAGAACTTCCACAAATAGATCCCCCAGTGAAAGACCAAATGTGGACTCTGATCTAATGACTTCATTCAAACTATGCTATTAGAATAGAATAGAATAGAATAGAAATATATGTATGGTAATAAAAAATAATTTCAATTGTACTCAATTGTTTTTTATTCTATATTTTACAACAAAGCTACAATACCACTATAGTCTTATACGGATTGAAGGATGCATGTGGTTTATCACAGTATTTGTTCTTAACTTTCATTTGTAAGACAAATCAATGTTGATATAAATCCACTGGGTCTCTTATGATCAAGAAACAATATTCATCATTTAATCTATAAGCAAAGAAAGTGAAAAGACCGTTGCTTGGCAACATTCTCTTCACTATCTTTTGTTCACGATTTAACTATGTAAGAAATATAATACGTACAACTATGTAACACATCCCTTAACGTTAAAATCTAGCATGATGATTGCAAAACTAACAACAGCAATAAGAAAATTCAATGATAACATATCTACAAGCTCATTGAAATTTCTTGGATCGAGATCAACTCCTTAAAAACACGAGATAATTTCATACTCTGACAATGTAAATCAATCTCTTGAGGAAATTTCCAAATCTAGCTCCTTCTAACTACTACTCAATGGAATTAACTTGATATCAATAATTTGAAAATGGTTTGTTACATATGAATGTCAAGAGCAAATATGAATTACTATATACTTATAAATTTTTATTGGAACAAATAAATATTCATTTTTAACACATTTCCTTTTTTCAAATATTTTTTATTTATGTTCATTTCATAATGAATTTAATTTTCTTTATCTTTGTTAGCATATTATGAATACAAGATTTTCCTGTTGAATACATTGATTAAAATGAAAAAGTGTAGTTAAAATTATAAATTGATTATTCATGTTATCGATGACTATTAAAGAAGTAATTTTATAATGCTTCAATATCTTATTTATGAAAATACTATAATTTTATATGTTTGGCTTAATCTGTTTCAACTTTTAAGTGTGTATTTTTATAATCTATGAAATTTTGTAAACAGAAATTAGACAAATGTTGATTAGCTATTTTTCTAATAGTTACATAGTAGCAAGTTTATGATTATTTCACTCATTTGCATGATCATCAACTTAAGTATAAAAATATTTCAAGTTAATGCATATTATATAAGAAATAAAAATATCTGTTCAAATGTATAAATAAATAGATGTTTTATTGTAAAATCAACATTTAATTTGAGAAAAATAAATTAATAAATAAATTTTTAGGAAACAAAAAACAAATAGGTAGTAAATAGAAGGAAATTTGTGTGATCATCTCATATTAATTCATTATATAATAAAATGGATAAATTGAAGGTAATTACTATAAGAAAATTTCGTTTTAATCAATTGATATTCACATTCTTATTGGTGTTCCCATTCCAAACAGATGTTTATATTATTTTTTATATACTTTTTTTTATTTAAAAAAATCTTGCAAATTTTATTATACAATAAGAAATATTTGATAATAAATTTGCAATAAAGTTCAGAATTTAAATTTCAAGTGTTGAATAGATGCAAATTTTTACCTCAAAATTTGTAAATATATATGAAAACTGCTTATTTTTTTATAGTCATGAGAACATGACCATTATACTATGGCTTTTACTAAGTTTTTGAAATCCTACGTCTTAACCATGGCCAAAGATTAATTTGCGCATGTAATGCCTTACCTTTGGGCTTAATTCAATTTTCTTCAAGATAGAAAACAAACCCAAGATTACAGATTTTAATACATGAATGAAATTTAAAAAGACTTAAAATTCATATAAAAATTATGAGAAAATATATCTAAAATGATAGGAAAAATTAATTGATTTTAGAAAATATATTTTTTGCTTATATTTTAATATGGATGATTTATTAATCAAGAATTTAGTTAAAAATTTTGATGTTGAAATCATATTCTATTTTATTTTAATAAATTTTAAAATTGAGTTTAAAAAAAATATATATCCATCATTTCATTTCTGAAGTAACTTATTCTTGTGAGTTATGTGATTCCTATATAACATTGCCAATATCACATTAAAGATGTTATTATGGCTAAGTCAACTGTAAAGTAAGTACACATGTTGGAACAAATTATAATCACATCATTGATAGAAATGAAGATTTGTTGATTAAATCAAATGAAATATTCATAGTGAACAAATTAGAACTGAAAAGAGCTTGCCATACATTTAGAAATTTTGATTCTGAAATTATAGTATCTGAAATTTATTAGTGAAGAAAAAAATCACTAACGTGGTGTACAGTATGTGTATGCTACACACCTTATGTAGGGAACATACAAATTGCGAAAGAGTGAACAGATGTATTAGCTCCCGAAAGTTTCATGGTTACAAGTTTGTGAAGTGGAGCTGCCAAGACCCACTGGACTGGACTCGAGTCGTTATCCTTAACGGTGGGAGCCGGACGTGGGCAACCTGGTTGTACACATGAACGTCACCTAATTATGGCTCGGGCTCTCGGTACCACTCCAAGAGTACGCGGTGCGTACATGGCACTGACGTGGAGTGCAGTGCAAGTTGCGCCGACGTGTCACACACTGAAAAAGCATCGCGGCTCCGAAGCACGGGGGACCTGCAGATCCAAGAATCTCCCGCCGCTAAAATTAGCCCCAGAGGGGCACACGCTAAGCAACACGGCAGCGGAGTCACAGAATATTCCACCCGCATAAGTATTCCGAATCGACGGCCGAGCCAGCCAGTCGAAGAATCTTGCGGCCGCGGCGGATCGCTCGCCGGGCCGTCGATTCCGTATATTCCCAAGACTCGATCCGCAGGACTCCCGCCAAGTTTAGCCAATGCGGAGCGGAGAAGGGATACTGAGAGCCTGCGTCGGCCCTGCAGGCCTTAATGTGTCGGCGGTTGCCGCAGAGTCGTTCGAGGGGCCCCAACGTCTCTTGTGGGACCCCCCGGGGGGTTCTTCCAGGGACTGTCCATGTTCGAAGCTGGGCCGTCGCTTCGATGGAGTGAAAAGTGTGGACCGAAAGAAAGCTTTCGGGCTACTCTTTGGATTAATGAGATGTGTCGGATTCAGTAAGAACAGTAGCAGCCAAGGAGAGTACGCGGAGTTGTACTCAGAGCGTTGACATCTTTCTTCCCACGCACGCTCTTATCTCGTCTTCTACGTCTTTTCGGGCCTCCTGCGGTGAATCCACATTTTCTTCGTCCATTGCAATTATGGGCTTTTTGGCTATTGATTTCAATTCTTTCGTCTTGGACTAGAGTATTCTTGTTTCGTGTCAGGATGTCGTTCTTTTGTTGTTCTACAACTATGTATCGAATTGGCGAGCGCTTCGACTACATTCTGTGCTAATCCCACCCCACCTTACTACAACTTCCACCGACAGTATGACAGGATGCGACCAAATGGCGACCAAATGGCCTTCATATCATTGCGGTTCCTTCCACATTTTGCCTCAAAATTTCACCCATTTTCTGTTTTTCATGTATTGCCTGTTAAAGTGTTGAGTTTCGTATTGGGTTTGAGCTCAGTTTTCTTGCTTTTGTGGCACTTGCTTCCTTGTACGATTGGAGGAGGTTTTTACCGTCGTTCCTTTAGATCGCTTTCGTGGCCCTTTGGCTTTCTCTTTATCATTCTTTAGTTCACAATTTGGGAAGCTGTATGTATGATTCCTTATCGTTCAAGGGCTTTTAGACACTTTCCAACTTCGAGCGATTTCATGTCACTCTTGACCTGAGAGATTTGTCCTTTGACAGGTAAAAGGTCTTAGCGTTTATTTTTTTTCTAGCCAGATTAGTTCGCAAAGTTCACGCCCCCAACTGACATTTATGTGTCGTCAAAGTTCATTGTTCAGTACCTCGCATTAACGTGCAACATGTTTGCCAGTAAAATCTGTCATTAACAAGGAGCAGAATGTAAACATGTGCCTCCATAACAAAGTGCTTACAACATCATCTCCAGATAAAGACAAATACACATTGACAAATGGTGCATGTGATGTTATGGAACCGTTGAGATATAACGTCCCAAACAGAAGCGTCTCCTCAAAGCGCTTATGGGCTTGCAGAGAGTTGATATGTGCCCAATATCTTTCTTATTGATGATGAAATAAAAGAAAGAATCTGAGAAGGTTTTAAGAACATATCCACCGGAAGCAGGCATCGAACAAAATTCCGATTTGTACATTGATTTTACGCAGTACATCACAGACAATAATTTTCTCAGCTCCCAGTACCAATGGTCCCCCAAACTACACATAGACGTTCGGGTGACAAAACAAGCTGTGTTTGATATCGGGGCAACTAGATGTCCAGAAATGCCGGAGATGCTCGCTATAACTGCACCAAAATTTGGCGAACATTGAAGTGCAAAAACATTGAACCATAACTAAATGTTATGGTTCAATGAAATGATCCTCCGTCCACATCAAATGCAAGTGGAGTAAAAATTAAGCACCACTGCTTAAAGAGACATGATAATGAAATTTGTGCAATGTGGAGTACCACCATAACTCCAATAAGGACAGCTGCAAATCACAGACCTTGGAGAACCTCCCTGTTTTCAGGTACAGTTCTAAGCGACGAAAGGAGAAGTGGACAAAACCTGGGACACAGGATGCAGTACCTTATCTTGAAGTCAGACCAACAATTCGAACAGTCACAGTTTAGAGCCCGTTAACATTTTATATTTAGATCAACGTGCCAGACAGGGCACAACAACGTGAGAAGGCATATCTGCGAATTATAGGCATGGCCTCGAGATGAAATCCGGATAATCGGGTTGTGAACTCAAAACGCTTGACAACCTCGTATTTACCCAGCAGGAATCCATGTAGTAGGCTGCAAGAAAAAAACTATAATAGAAGCTCCCGAAGTAAGCAGACCGACGTTTAAACTACAGATACTAGATTTTTAATGGATCAAGCTTTCGCTTGCAAGTAGAAAGTTATAGATGACACGAGCAAACAGAACAATTTACACATCCATCGTGAACACGGAAAGTTGAACCCACAACAAAAGGTGGATAACCATAACCAGAATAATCTTTTCATGCGACAAAAAGTTACATTTACATGATAACGATCTCTCTTACATCTTGTAAATCAGACTAATTGCTACTTTACATCTCTTCGACGTGAACTGTAAATCCACAAGCACAGACCTTGGTGGTGGTTCCGGTATCTTCATCATAGGTTTGATCCTCATCAGGGAAATGATGGACATGAGCAACTTCCTGCTTCGGTGGCACTTTCTTCTTAGACGCACCGAGAGTATGTTTGGAGTCAGTTCCCTTCTTTGGCGTGTTCGAGTGCCTCTCGTTTTCCGCATTCGTAAGAGGGAATCCTTCATAGGCTGCCTTCAGGCGTTCTCTCGTTGCCATAGAATGCAGAAGTTCTCGCCATCTTCTGATAGCCACCTCTTCCCTCTTCCTTCGGAGTTGACCGAATCTGATTTCCTCTTCCTGTCTGTAGGCCTAATACACATGATTTGCAGTTAAGGACTTAGAAATTTAGTCAATATGTTCAAGGCAAGCTATTGTGAGAAGGTGGTATAGTTGGCGAAATACTTAAACAAGGATTCACTAGTATACAAGACCTCACTGTCAGGCTTGACTTAAGCCTGACAGCAACAGTCCAGAAAATGACTTAAACATTGTTCTGAACAACAGAAAACTTTCATCATATATGGTCTAGGAAAGAACTTGCACTTACATCCATGATCACGTCTTTGAACTCCTCACAAACAACAACCCCTTCATACATAGGTACTGATCTCCTTTTTCGAATCTCAAAGCCCACCATAGCGGGAGCAAAGTCAATGCCAAGAGCTTTCACGATCGGAACGAGTCTTGGAAACCGTAGATGCACAGTACCGGGAGGTATACAGTATTCTGACCAGCAATCTATTTGACCTCGCTCATTCTGAATTCCAAAAGAAAACAATGAGATGGGGTATATGTCACGAGAAAATAGCTGTCTATTCTTCCTATTCCAAAGGGCTCCGTAGCAGTATCCTACATGGAGGAGAATGTTAACACTACAACTTACAAAAAACATCGGCTTGTCAGATACTACATCTCTCAGAAAAAAAGTAATGATTGTATCAAGAAATCAACCAAAAAAAGTAAACCAAAATTGCTCTTGCATAATAAAGTCAGAACATTCGAGAACACAGTTCGGGGACAAGTAGAACAAGTAAAGCGATTTTTTGAACACAAAATTTATGCCTTGCCTTCGGAACAATTCCATTGACTGCTCGGGGAGGTCGCCATGGATCGCACTGCCACTTGCCAAACAAATCTGTTGTAGGAGGAGGAAGGTTCTCTTCTTCGCCATCAAGCTTGTTGGCAGCTTGCTTGACACTTTTCATGGCTAGATGGTTTGCCTTGACAACCTGGAAAACGACAAATTTAGGATTTGAGTAAATTTTCCAAATATTGAAGAATGCCCTGTATATGCACAAGGACTAAGATTTTCCAAGTTAGAACCGTCCCAAGCTCTATGGCTGTAAACTAGACAGTTCAATATTCGGATCCAGGGAGTCCTACCTTGGCTGGAATCTCGCCTTCGCGAACCTTGAGACCTTCACGAAGCCATCGATCAGGGGTGTGAAGAATTTGGACACAAGACCTCGGATACACAGGCTGACCAGCACAGCAACCCAACACCGGCCCCTTGGGGTGAAGTGTTTGATACTTGGTCAGCCATCTCTCCAGAGCGTACAAATGATGCGATTTGTAGGCCTAGAACAAAAGAGGTACAGATGAAATTAGGATAAAAAGAGCGAGAAACAATAACTATCAAGATTGATATGGCACGGAAGAAAATTGAGTTAGGCAAAACCAACAAGCATACAACCGACGTGCAGGGCTTGTGGAAGCAGGTTGCTGGTCAAGGACATGAAGTGCTCGAGGTATGGCGGTGATCACTGATAACTATATAATATTTTAAATCTTCGGCCTTATGTTCACAAACTCCAGAAAGGCAAGTATCAGCAAAAACAACACACCGTTACAACACACCTGCTGACTGGTTGGTAAAGGCTCAGTATACGCCTTTGTCTCCAGTTCCATATCCTCCAAGGCGCTTCTGTCCACTGCTTGGGGTGCTGAGGACTGAGAGCCAGACGCAGTACCAGCTTTGGAACCATTAGTTTTCTTAGACTGTGGAGTCCGGGTGGCTCGCTTGCCACCTCTCTTTACCTCCGGAACCTCATTAACAGTAGGCTTGCTCTGCTCCGGTTTGTGCTCATTTTTAACAGGCAATTGTTTTGGTCCTCCAGATATCAGTACACTGTGATCTTCAGGAACGGCCTCCTGTTCCCGGGCGCCCTTCAATGACAGTGCTTCCTGAGATTGCTTGTATCTCAAAGTAGCCCCCGCAATGGCAGCCGCCTCTAATTGCTTCAGGGGTTGAAGGGTGGAAGCCCACCACCCATCGTCCACTCGAAGAGAACTGACAGAGGACCACATACTTACATATCTGCTCAAGCAAAAAGGTACCAGTTAGTATTGGCCTTGTTAACGAAACAGTGGAGAAAGAATAGAAAATTACACAATGAGGTCTACTAAAAAAATGGATGAGATAAACTAAGAAACTGTTGGGTACCCGATCTCTCTATACCAGTATGACGATCTTGCCTACAGCACGGCAGTTTGCAATGTAAGAGTGTAATGGTGCATAAATATCAAGTATATATGGCTCGTTAAAAATCATTCACATTGTTGCCGGTTCTTTCTACATCTTCTAACTGGACGTGAAGGAAACTGACAAGGCCATGCAGAACTGGGCAACAACAACAAATCGCTGTCTCCCTGGTGTAGAGGTCTTCAAAAAGGGAGTGTAGTCAAACCTGCGTGTAACGTCTTTTGCTCCACTTCCGGCAAACGCAACTACGTAACGAAGAGGAACACGACCGGCAATTGCAGCTGGTTCGACCTTATCAGCACCATTGAACCAAGCTCTTGCAGCATCTACATGTATCCACCGTTCATTCTCTCCTTCAAAGAGATAAACTTCTGCCCAGTACAAGGGAGCACCCGTCCTGTTCACAGGGACTGCTTCAGTTGAGCTTTCTCCTTTCAAAGAACCGGTCCTTGAAGAATTACGTAATTTAGCTAGAGTACTCTCACCTTTCTTTTTCTGAGCTACAGTACCATTCAACCGCTTCATATCTAATGGTGTTTTTGGTATCACGGGCTCCACAGTACTTGCGCCCTTCAGCCCTGAAGATGCACCCTTAGCACACATGGCCACACCCGGTTGTGTTTCACATTCCGCGTCCCCTTTTCTACCTGGGGGTTTAATTCCTAGCTTCTGGTCCAAAACATCTGCTTCTGCTTCAATTTCTAAATCAGATTCTTTATGAAAGCGACCTCTAGAATCAAGTTTTGTACGTTTTTTTCTACTATAGGCTTTCACATTATCATTGACGTCTTCCGTGCTATCTTGTAAGACTTTTTTGCCTGGGCCATTAATATGGGAATGGTCATCCCCATCCTGCTTACAACCTTCTTCTACTGACTTGCTACGGTCATCAACGCCCTCGTTCTGCGGACTTCTTGCTGGTAGAACAGCACTACCCACCTGCTGTGGCTCCGACGAAGAGCTTAGATGACCGTTGCTGCTCACTTGTTGGAAAGCAGACATGGCTAATAAGCGTGCCAGACTTGTGGCCCTCTTTGCCTCTATATCTTGATGAGCGGAGAATATGATTCCTTCAACCTCCACTTGAGGGTCCCAACCAGCGGATGCTGCGAGCGAACTAGCATCTGGTTTGAGTGGAGAAACATCCAGACTGGCCACGTACCTGCAGCCAGAATTGTCTTAGTAACTCGCCACCACGAGGAGCAACACCAAACGAGAAGATTTTTGACTCGTAACGATCACGCACTGGAGAAATTCCTAAACAAACTCAACCTACTTGGTTCACGAGTCGTATCTTTGAAAACAAAAGCACTCTCAATCAGAACAAAAGAGATCTGACAGATTACCTCAGGATGAACTGATTCACAAAAATAATTTCCATCTCATCAGCTTGACAGAGAAGTTCACTCACGAAATCGAGTGTATACTGACTTACCGAGTCGTGAAACCAAGGCCACGAAGAAACGCAACTGATATCGCGGCAACCTGCCATCATGACCAGCATTGAGATGAAGTTAACGAAATGCGACCGCAAGAAAAAACTTCGAGAGACACATTAAACACGTGATTTTTACCTCCCAATGTTTTAGTGATGATTCAGAATTGATACTGTGGAGATATACTGTCGAGGAATGTAAGGATGGAGAATGACCTCTTCTGCACTACCGACTTGTAGCTGAGCAGCTTCCAAGAGCCGCGATGGAAGATCCTTCTGTACCCGAGTGGGGGGTAGTTTCTTCTCCGATGATGAAACTTCAAAAGAGGTAGAAAACTGATGCCACCACAGACGTAAGCAATTCAGGCTTTTCGTAACCTCTAAATCCTATAAGGCGAGATCTGCAACTCTAGCTCCTACATTACGGGGATGCAAATCCTCTAAAAACTAGATCGCCCATCTCAAATGAAGGGAATAGTTTAGCAAATCTGTAGCTTTCTCAGTTACGACTTAACAGTCTTCTACTAGGACTAGATTAAAAAACCTCGCTTTAACCAAAACGAGAGGTCTGTTGGTTATCACGTGAGAACTCACCCAGGTTACGAAACTTCGTAAGAGAATAGTGCCGGAGGCTCCGGAACTACATAAGAGGCTTATAGATGGAGGAAGAAGGGAAAGGATGGAAGCCTGCATCACGATAAAGCAGAAGTGAGTGTGATAAACATGAAAGTTGCATGGCTGAAGCATAGTGCTTCTTGTATGTACAACGAAGTTTCCATCACTAAAGGTGACTCTTAAGGAGGCGGACCCGCTTTTACTGAAACTCACCTGTTGTGATGGAAATATTGTAGGACAACGACAATACCAGGAATGTGAGATTGTACAGAAGCACACAGAATCCCTATCGTATCTAAAGACGTACCTGTAAAAGCGGATCGTTACAAGCAGCATCCACCATCCGTCCTCGTCCTAGTAAACAGAGAATATGCGCTTTATGAACAAGCTCTGCAAACTCCTGTACCACACAGAACAAGAAATAATGTAAATGTCCTCTGTTCTAAAACTGGTTCACTCCAAGCTAACAACACAGCGTAACTAAGAGAAGCAAGAAGTAGCTCAACTTCAGTGGATGAGAATGAAGAAGTCCAAAAATTATAAAACATCAAGACAAAGATGAGTAGCACTACTTCAAATAAAATATTGCTCACGCACCAGGGACCGTAGTCATGAAATTCCTCATGAACATAAAATGAGCTAAGACTACCCAATTGCATGAATGGATATCGACACAAGGTTTCACACCCCACACTTGATAAAGCTTCTAGAGGATGCTTTCAAAATCTCATAGGTTCGGTGAATTACTTGGGCACCGATAGAAATTTGGTGCAATTTAGCTTTACCAGTGAGCCACTTCTTCAAAGATGCAAGATAAAATACCGATCTTACTTCAACCCGGGGCATTGGTGTGAATAACAGTGCGAAAGGCTCACTTTGTATCCTCACAGGATCTTCTAGACTTCGTGTTGCAAGTGGTCGCCTTGCTACTGAGTATTCTCATCTCAAAGGATCTTCATACATTTCCTTTTTTTCTATTGATGTATCTTTTAGGGTCTACGTATAGCATATCCTACCATAACATGCATAATGAACAAGATTGAGATCTGCCTTCAAGGTGTTTCCCAAGACTCATGTAACCAAATACAGAGGTAGATTGGTTGGCTGTACCTCGAGCTGCTTCAGAAATTTTGGGTAGCCGGCACAATTTGCACGTTCCTAAACCATATCGAGGTTGGGAGTAGAACTGTGTGCTTAACTCCTTTTCCTTCCAACCGTTACCAGGTGTGACGGGACCATGATGTAATGTTCCATGACAGTTTCTAATGCCAAGAATTTATAAGAACCTCTAGAAGTGGGGAGCTCAGGATAATGAGGCATATGAGATTCTTGATTGAGCAAAGTGTTACACGACACTGTCATGGCTGGCCTCTTGTAGCGAAGATTCAGTGCGTAAGTTACTTCTTTTGAAAGCCAGGTAGCAGCCCCTCTGTCCTTGAAAACCACCTAAAAAATGCAGGAGCTTTCACCAACTATGAACCTTAAGTCTAGACAGGATTCCACAGCCCAAAACTGCGAACATGATCTTAAATGCGACATGATGTACCGGGAGAGCTATACTCGGTAGATAATGTCGCATCAAGATCCTGTCCGCAGCTATATCGTTGTCATCGTTAACCACCAAGCTTCACAAGCTTCAGGAACGGGACGGCAGTCGTAAAGACGTGTTATGCATGGCAAAAAAGATGGTTACACTGGCTCCTGCAATTAAATCTTGAGAAATTTCTGTAGTCTTGCAGTCCACTTCTGTTTTGATCGACATGCATCAGAGCCCTTTCTTGGCTGCAACATATTCGTAGCCATATTGAGTGAAGTGAGCAGCAGGTCAAGGACGGAAGAATGGTATTGTGTTTAGTTACCTTATCCCTCGCATTCGCTCTTCGGGCAGGAGGCTTTCGCTGGGCTGCTCGTTTCTGAGCTTTGGTCTCCACTTGTATAGTGATATCGCCATTCCATACTTGTTCCTTAGTACTTCCTTTGTCATCCGACGTCCCAGCAAACGTTTCTTCGCCTTGTTCCCATTCGAACTCGTCATCATCTTCATTGGCACTTGCCTCTTCAAGATCCTCTGGCATAGCGGCATCAGGCCTGCTACTCGGTTCTTCCCGTTGCGGTCTCGACTCGTTCGGCTCTTCGACAGTGGGTGGAAAGTTAGCCGTGTAAGAACTTTCAGCATCCCTAGACGTTTTTGCCAAGGCTCCACATACTGGAGCAATGGCAGATATACTAGGGCGTTGGTGTAAGAGGTCATCTTCTCCGTAAAGTTTTCCTCGCCCTTTAAGACGCTTCTGCTGCAAGGTCAGATCAACCATCAACAAATGTAAGTTCCGGCTCATACGATGAACTATTCTGAGCATCCAAAATAACGATTCCGAACTAAGAACTGGAAATCAATTCAGGTAAAAAAATTTAGCTGTTGGTGTACTCATCTCGATAATATGAAAAATTATAGAGTCTCCATGAAGACCAAGGGAGGAAACGAAAATAACATGTATCGAGTGTACTTCCACGCATAAGACAGACAGAACATGAGCAACCTCGGCGGCTTACCTTGCAAGAGACCTAGCTAACTCAAATCTAGGTGGTGTTTCAAGGGTGTTTACAAAATATTCCAGACGGAAAGAAGGATGGTGAGAGGAATATAGAGAACCGTCACGCATGAACTGAGAGTTGTAAGTGAAAATATATACCTCTATCTCTGGTTAATGAAAGGCAAGACACCAGAGCAACTAAATTTTGCATCTTACGGCTTAAAGGAGCCAACGAAATACACTAGATGGAAAGCAACAAGAAGTCCATAGAAGAACTTGGACCTGTCATGCGTGGACTAAAGTAGTAAGTTTATATAAAAAATACATGAATGCGTTTAGAGAAGCCCAGGAGCAGCAGAACGGTGGAATGGAGCGAGGGAACCTGCTGTCAGACAGATAGTTGTAAAAGAACTAATGTGCAGTATGGAGGAACTAGTCCGACGCAAGAAAGTCCTCAAGTGACTGTCGACAACCTTAAAGTGGGGAGCGTCACTATCCCGTCATGTACATTCGGTCAAAATATACCTCTACAGATTACATTCTCCATTACCAGATTGGGGGCTTGGCATGGAATAGATCGAAGCAAGATATACCTCTAAGTCAGGTAAGGAGACACCCAACAGAGGAAATAGTACAAACAGAGCTCAGTTTTGAGCATAATAGACCTATACATGACTTAGACTTATGAACAAAATGACTAAGAACATGCAAGAAGGAAGCTTGATAAAGAGTGGCAAAAACATTTCAGTACTGCGTTCGGGCATGGTGTCTACAGAATGCATCCGGAACCAGCAAAAAGCACGACTTCATAGTGGCCTATAACACTTGCCTATAACACAAGCCTTTTGGTGTTCCAACGCATAGTTCCAAGTAATTACTTGAGTATGTACATAATGACACGTGAGCATCTTCTTCAAAATCCTCATTCTTTGAGAAGTTGTACTATGTATACTTATAAATGAACGCTTTAGTCTTGTATGGAATTAATATTTCAAACAAAAGTTTGAAATCTTTAAAACTTTTAAATGTTGGAAAGCCCGAGTTGAGACTTAAACTTAACAGAATATGAGGCCTCTACGTACGGATCATGGCGAAAGGTATAATTATGAGGACTTTCAAAGTTACTGCAAAGAGAAGGAAATGACTTGTTATTTTGCCACGGTTCATATTTCGTAATAGAATGCTATTTCTGAGAGTCTCAGTAAAATAGTGTTAAAGAAGGTGCGCAGTATGTCGAGCCAATCTGATTCACTATATGAATTTTGGGCTAAAGCTGTCAATACCACAGTGTATTTGATAAAAAAAATTTCCTCTAGTGTAATTCATATCTTGACACTATTTAAACTGAGGCACAAACGGATGGATGATTATGGTTGTGGGCCGAAAATGTAGCAGACAGTATAATGATGATGTTAGGCAGAAACTATGTGATTTCGCAGAGACTGAGACAATTTTGCCATATCTGAGATCTATTGAGTGGACGAAAGGGATTTCGAAGCATCAAATGCAAGCATTAGATGCGAAATATGAGGGTTGGTCTATCCGCTTCTCCGAAAGATAAAGGTTTGAATTAATAATAGTAGGAAGGAAAAAAAAAAGTAACCACATATTCGGCAAGTTCGCCTTCATGACCTTCCTGACCACGACACAATCTACGATATCTTTCCAGTGCTTACACAACACATGACAGAGAAATGTGTCAAGAGGAGTGTCACTTACACGGGTAGGCTTTTCTTGCTCAAGTTGGCGTTTCTTTGCAGCTGCCCTTCGTACGCCAACGCGATCCAGAAGCTTGCCCACGCTTTGTTTCGAAACATCTCCTAACGTTTCTGCAAGACATAAGACACAGAAGAATAAGCTTCAATTTGCTTCCGGATATCGAATACGAGTTACAACCAACAAGCCAGGGGCCATCAGCCACTACAAATCCAATAAACAAAATCTGTATAAGGACAAGATTCTCAATTTCACGGGCTCTTAGTAGCGTTTCCCAAAAAAAAGAGAAATCAACCTTTCACCATTGTTCAAACATTACAAAGAAAAAATACTCACTTGGAGCAGAAGGTCTCTCATCAACACCTTCGCTTAGCTGCACATCTCTATCATGGTTTTGATGAAGATTCTGAAGCAGATCCCCCAGAACTGAAATGGGAACAGCCAGCACGTAATTAAGTACAGCCAATGAACTAAAAAGCGTTGCTGGAATTCAATGTTGCAACGACAAACCATGAATTCCGAATGTAAGTATACTACAAGAAAACAAATATTGGGCTCTCTGTGCACATACTGCTAAAATAAATGAAAAAAGACGAAAGGTGCAACTAATCTTTGCACAGATGTAAACAATGAGCGAAACCACCTGCACTAGTGTTAAAACCCTGTATCCCACCAAACATTTCAAAGGCAAGCTGTCGTTCAATTTCCGAGCGTATAGAGAGGTCAATGGTAGCAGATGACTGCTGGATTCTCTGACAGAGACATCTAGTCGCTTGTTCCGAAACTTCGTCCAGAAGACTTTCAGTAGACAAAGGTGGGATCTACACTCAAAGGGCTTGCTCTGGACCAGATATCTCGAACTTCAAAGGTTTATGTTCAGTCGGAGCGACTGAACATAAACCTCTGAATGACACAACGTTTTCGGAAACCCGCACGAAGCACATTGATGAATATCAAAACATCCACAGGGGTTTACTCACTGGGATCTGCTTCGGAATCCTTCGCTGACCTCCTCGTGCGCATCGAAACGAACTCTGACTATGGCGGTACAATAACTTACGTCACATCACCACGTAATTCCATATGAACAACTCGACAAACAAGGTGTTCCTGCTCGAAACAGGCGGGGCTTCGCACAGAGAGTAGTAACGTTTGCTAAAAAAACATCCTGCGACCCATTCACGAAATTGACTTCTGTTTGAGTCACTCTGTCCTTGAACAATAGAGCTGTATGCAGACGAAAAAGCAGAGACCCAGCACCTCCAAGTGATGAGCACCATAAAGTAACAATTACAGCACAATTAACAGCGACAAAGGAAGATTCCCCGAATCAGCAACTACTTGCTGCCCACCTCCTCTTAGAGCCAAAACCGCAGGATACAGCCCTCCTTGAGCCCTTTCTCCTCAGATGCTCTCGAGCAATGAACCAACCCAAACTCTGCGCCTGGTCGCGTCTTCTACGCAAACCTCCTCCCGACAAAGCCCACGCCCAGAATTCCCCTCCAGCACCTCCAAATCCTCACCCCGCCATCGCCTTGTGATGTGCGGGCACACCCAACAACGCAAAGCGCACACTTTGTGGTATTCATGAAGCAATCGACGGGAAAGGGCGAGAATAATTGCGCCGGGGAACAATTTGCTATGGTGACATTGAGGGCTGCCGGGGCCCCACGAGTCAAACTCTTGTAGGCGCTACTGACTTGGCAAATGCGCGGCCACGACCACCGTCCGAGGGCGAGCGCTCGAGCTGGCAGGCTCGGCACGGGCCAAGCGGATCCAGCAGCCATTGGAGCATTCGAACCCTGCCGGAGCCGGGGTCAGCGTCCGGGTTCGAACCCGAAACTCGGGCTCGGCGCGTGAACCAGAATTCGCGATCTGAATAAACAAAAATCGCGCCTTAGTTCACCGCGAGGAGCATTTGGCGTTGTTTCGTCTGCTCGTTTCTGTCTCTGGGCAATATGCCCCCGGGGACGACAGACGAGACACGCGTTCCTCACAGAACAAAATTCGCGCCTCTGTACGGAGGGTGTTCTCTGTCTGACACGTGTCCTCTCCTCGACTGCCCTCCCCGACGACGACTGGTCGTATCGCCGCTAACTGGTTTGGAACATGGAGCCATCAGTTGGTTCTCCTCCATAGAGATAATGTTCATAATATCCGTGACGGTGATGTATGAGGGGCGCCCCTCGAATATTAATGTCGCGAGACCGCTCTAGGTCTTGCTAATCATTCGATATTTGTAATGTGCAGGTCAGTGACCGTCAGCCCCCGGTGCTCATTGCATGTGCAGTGAAGTTTGCTCGTATGAGCCTGTCAGTGGTAACTACTACGGTAATCTGGCGGTGGGACGCTGTTTTTTCACGGTCCATTTTATTTCTCACCCGCCTATTCTCATAGCTACCCGACGGTCGGGGACTTCAGCAAAAGACAAGATAGTTATGCATATCTCCACTTCCGGATTAGTTTCCCATGCGCAACCCATTTGTCCTCTATGGTTACGATTTAACTCGAGTTATGTATTTTGTATTTCATAGACAAGGAGGTTTCAAATGCGTAGCTTAGCAATACCAATTGCTTGTGCAGTAGCTTGTTTTCTTCAACTGGAGAGGTGTATATTATATTCTGAGAGTCTGCCAAAACATGAGGAAGAAACTTAACACGGTGGAAGAATTAATGTTCATGTTATGACCTTGAGTTCATAGGAAAATTGATAGCATTGCCTAATGGAGACAACTTTTCAATGTAATAAAAAAGTGATCTTCCAGTATAGTATCCTGTCATTGCACAGTAGATTTTCCGTATTATCGTTCATGCAAATCCCCTCAATTTAGAGTACCTGTCTTAGTCTGTGTTATGAAGACATCGGCAAGCCTTTGAAAAAGAAGGTCGACATTTGGTTCATCAAAGGAAAGAGTTTACTAATCTGGAGTAATTCTTGCTGCCATTAATATCTATGAAACGACATGTAGACTTTCCATGACGGTCTTATTGATGCATGCATCAAAATCAATAACTTCAAATGAATAGAGGTACATAATGACGAATGGAATCAACTTGTATAATTTTATAGTAGCATATATATATATATATATATATATATTAATTATACTTAAGAATCATTATTGTGAAATCGCTACATGTATGTTTGTATGAAATGGTTTGCATTGGACCACGTCTTTTGGTATCATACAAAAGAAAGAAAAATCCTTCAACGAACGCATCTAAAGATTGCCAGTAGGATTTATATATCTTTTCTTGTAAAACGAGGTAATAATTTAATAAGAATAACATGTCACAATCATTGAAACAAATAAGTGTAACCACAACAAACAATTAAATTTTAGTATTTCTAACCAATGATTGAAACTCGTAGAATCCAGAATGTTCCCAACAAAATTAATCTCAATGTGCCTTCTCTTTATTATGAACCGTCTGAGTTTGTTTGTCCTCGTTTTCTCAAGCTTGCATTTGAGAACCTGCTTCCATCAGTTTGATATCAATCATGTTAGCACTTGTATACAAAGGGAACAAGTCAATCTTAGCGAGAGTCATTGAACATGCAACCCCATAGATCTGAAGATTTTAGCATCGGATGTACCGACAAGTACAAACTGCATCGATCCCATCGTACCAGGCGACAAATTTGAGTTCCGCACCTCATAAGTGGAAAGCGAAAGAATCTCGTGACAAGTTCTCATCAGAAAACATTCTGATGAGAACTTATCAGCAAGCTGTCAACAACGTCAACGTTCTGAATCTGGTTAGTGTCTCCATCGAAGAAGCAGTAATAATCTTACAAAGCATATTACTGGGAAAAATCTCAATCCATAATAGTGCCGTAAAATGAGTTTTCGATTTACCAATTGAAAAAAGGAAGAAATTTTCGAGTCGAAAAAGTCAGGTTCAAAAAAACATCACAGTACACTCCGCGAGTTACATTTATTTTCGTATATAAAAATGAACTTCTGATGCCTATTTGCCTCTTGACAGTAGATTACACGTTTCGCATGCCATCGATATCTTCGGCAAAGATAATCAATCCGATTAAATTTAAGTGCTCAGCTTTTGTTAGGTAACAATAGAGCCTTCACTCAGAGGGCGAGAATTCGAGAAAATGCACATATATATATATATATATATATATATTCAAATACGGAAGACAACGGCAATATCTATGTGGGAAATGATAGTTTAACGGGCCAAACGATGAACCTGCACTTCGAAGTGCACATCGAAGGAGTGCAGGACAACATCGCCGAATGACCAGATCTAAATATCGGCTAAACGAGGCGAGGTTAGACTGTAGGCGGTATTACGACCGTAAAAGGAAGAGGAGGAACTAATTATAGCAAGACGGAAGTGATCAGTGTACTTGGCCGGTGAGCGGTAGCGCTTACCACCCCGTATACCTCAGGTACCTTGGGGCGTCGCTCTTATAGTGCGATTGAGCGTTGGCTGGCGAGGAGATTTGTTTCGATCAGTCGGGCGATCGAACATTGTTTGAGTCGATGATGGCTTCGACATCCGGGGGTGCCCAGATGGGCACCCGCAACGTGCCCTTCACGCCGATTACGAGGCAGAATTCGATTTTTTCTTTAACCCTGGACGAATTGCAGAACGCCATCGACCCTGGGAAGCATTTCGGGTCGATGAATATGGACGAGTTTCTGAAGAATGTTTGGTCCGCGGAAGAAAATCAGACCATGTCGCTGGCTATTTCGACCAGCAACGAGAGCAACGCCCCGCAGTCCTCGTCGGCCACGGGAGGCGGACTAGCTCGCCAGGGAAGTTTAACGCACCCAGGAAGTTTGTCACTGTCGCGGACCCTTAGTCGGAAAACGGTCGATGAGGTGTGGAGAGATATCCACCGCGTTCCCGAGCCCACTGCCAAGGAGCAACAGAGGGCCAATAATTATGGGGAAATGACCCTCGAGGACTTTCTCGTCAAAGCGGGCGTGGTGCGCGAGGATTCCGAGTCCGGGAGCCCAGCTTCCAACAATACCAACACTTTCACTGCACCGTTTGCTGCTCCGTTGGCAAGCCAGAATCCCTTCCATGGGCCTACGGTTCTGGCCCAATCTACTCACCAAGCGGCCATGGAAGCGGCCATTGCACATAATCAGCATCAGCAGCATGTTGAATGGCACAATTATCAGCTCAAAAGCAATGCGATGCAACATCAGCAACATGTGCTTCAACAACAAGCTCAAGAAGCAGCTGCAGCTTATGCAATGCCGAAGCGGGGACCTGTGATCGCTCTCCCGGGAACTCCATCCGGGAGTGGTTTAGAGGGATCATCTGATGGGGGTTTGCAAGTAAACGGTCTTTCTCCAGCCATCACCACACCGGACACTCCGAACCGGGGCAGGAAGCGTGGTCCAGAGTCCATGCCAGAGAAGACAGTGGAGCGACGGCAGCGAAGAATGATAAAAAATCGCGAATCTGCCGCAAGATCACGGGCGAGGAAGCAAGCCTATACAGTAGAACTCGAGGCCGAAGTCAGCCAGTTGAAGGAGGAAAACAATCGGCTGAGGAAGGAGGTATGAAGGCTTTTTTGTGTGGTTGTGAGCAATACCTTGTCCTTTGGACTTCATTGCATGTACTGGACTCTAACGTTTTCCACTCGTATCCTTTGTGCTCGTGCAGATGGAGGAAGCGTCAAAGAGAAAGCGGGAGGAGTTGTTGATCCAGGAGGTACCGCCACGAAAGAACCAAGCCTTGCGGAGAAGTTGCTCAATCTCTTGGTGACGATTTTAAAGGTTTAAACCAACAAACAATATACAATTTTCCAGCACATCTGTGTTCAGCCTCAAACATTCTTCTCTCTCATTTCTTCGTACGGTAAGCGCTCCGAGCTCAAAGTCTCTTTATTTTTTTTTTCTCGAAAATTGCTCTGTTGGCTTACTTTTTGGAAAACCTGAAGTTAGTACTACACCATACTGATCGATGTTGTGGTAGCAGGTCCCGAATTGATCCTTGAAAATGATCAGGTTGGTCAGGTTGGTTGAAGTTGAGGATTTGATCGAGAGCTTTTCTTATCTTAAATCTGTTTCTGCCCTTAGGTATGATACTCGCCTGTCAAACACACCAGTCCCTCAGAAAGTAAGTAGAGTGGTGTAACAAGTGTATAGTTCTTCCGAGTTATATTGTCAAAAAGTAGGCGTACACATTTTCTCCTAAAGGACTGAGAATGTGTGCTTAGGTCAGTAGTAACAGTAGCAGGTTAGCTGTTCAAAGTACCGATAGAGAATCAGGAGTATTGCTTAGGTTTATACAGTGGCAATCCTCTATAATCACAATAACGAAATGTTTTTCCTCCTCGAGTGCCGATTTAAGCTGGCCTTCAGAAAGGTTGTATCTTGAGCTCATCCTTTGTATAGACACACTTCGCACTGTTGTTAATTCAAAGCTTGCGTTCCTGGTTTATTTTTCAGCGGCAATATTGTGGATAATCTGTGTTGTATTGCGTTGCCCTTTGGGGATATACACCCCGCATCTTGACTATTGTGTGGCATAGCGAGCGAATCCGCTTGTCTTAAGTGAGTTATTTGCAACACCTTTGGGCAGAATGTGTGAGGCTTTGTTCACAACCTTGAGCAGCTGGTGGACCTACCTCGGATTTTTTCTCCCTAGACTCAATGCCCACAGGTGCCGCTCTTTTGAGTTCTCTTTCTGGGCAACCGAAGTAAACATGTAGATGAGATACTGAAGAATTTCTTGGTTGACACTTGGAACCTTCTAATTAACCCTACAGGCAATTATAATGTTAAAGAGTCCGTTCTCACTCTCAGTTAGCCCTCTTTTTCCAGTCATCGGCCCCACTCACTTTTCTTCTCTCGCTGTCACCGCTCAACCAGGACGTTTGTTCGAGATATTCAGCAGCCTTTGGCAGGCGAAAATCACTCGTATAAGCTGATCTTCAGATTTGACATGTAATTGTTTCTTTTTCCCACCTTATACCCTAAGCCCCGCGAAATCCTATGTTCTTGCACAATAGTAGCTGTATCCAGGAGACTCTTCTCAAGAGGCAGTTTTGTTGTTGATTGATAGCTTGCAGATTCTGGCTGTGATTCTCCCCTCTCATATGGCCCTTGGTTGACCAGCAAGCTAATTGATAAGTCTCGTCGGTTGTCATGTCCATCATTGTAAATGAGCTCAGCAGCGTTCTAAGTATCTTACAAGAGCATACATGGAACGATTGTTGTTGCAAATGGATAGCATCGCAGTAATAGTTGCGGTTTTAGTTCCCGCCTACATTATTTTGTATACCTGTTGTAAACCGAAGAAGCCGTCACTATAATATCTGCCTTGTAATTTCCACACAAAACTCTTGATTGCAAAATCTGCCGCCTAAATAGACGCCTAAGAGACTTTTGTCGCAAACGTGTATTATTCTCTTATTTATAACAAGGTTGAGTATTTCAGTATATTAAATTCTATTTACATGTATGAACGCATTTATCAACAATACTAGAAAAAATCTACTAAACTGTCCTAATACATCGCAAGAATGTCTCTATGGGCCCAGTGATATCGATGTGAGCCTTATTTTCACGTGCTCGTCTGACTACTCCTGCCTCTGCTATCCCTTCTTTCAAATTTTGTCTCTCTGATGTAATATCACTAATTCCATCCATCACTAATGACACAACTTGTTGTGTCATTTTTTCTACAGAAAATATTCTACTCCCTTCCGTTTGCTGTCACATTTGTGCATATGCTAAATTTGACTCTCTCGGTTATGCCGCTTCTCTGCTAAGTACAATTAACTTCCGCCCAGGAGCACTTTTCATCTGGATTCCTCTCATTCTTTTGTCCTTCTCACTGTCTGATATCCAGCCCATATCAACTGGATCTAACCCTGTGCGACCATCTCCAATTGAGACTCGATGCGGATCTTTCGTTCCTGGAGCGAGTCCCCTAAAAGGCCGACGATATAAATCGTCCGGATTCATTCCCGCACGCATGGTGTGCTCTGTTTGTGAACCCCGGATCTCTATTCGATATCAGGTAGAATATAAATTTGCATGTACTGTTGCGTGTACCTGTTCACATTCACTTTCTACTGATTTAGTTCGATTTCCATCAACCTCAATGGATGATGGATGACTATGGCATCTTCTGTTGCTCACCATTGACTTCAACTCACATATAGAAGCTGCAATTTGTAGATATGCAATTCATATATTGAAGCTGTGCCGTGAGTCTCGCACCTTCCATTTTCAATAATCGCTTCTGCCACTCTGTCATTCACACTTCACTTTCTTGACAGATCATATTAGTATTCCACATATTGCTAAAAGTCAATACTATATGTCGAGAGGACTTTTTTAAGCAGGGTATTATGAGGAATTTAAATTGTACATCTGGAGAGAGTGTTGAAGTTTATCATGAATACTGAGTCGCAGCCAGACTAAAGAGGGGCTTATCTGACTAAATACACTGAACCGAATTGACTAAATACTCTGAACCGAATTGAGTTATCACAAACCATCTCAACTAGGTGATTCCTCACACAAAATCCAGGTTTGAGTCATTGTTAACCATCTCAACTCGTTGACTACTCACGTTGCACCCAGGTTTGAGTTGTTGCAAACCATCCCAACTTTGTGGCAACTCATCTCAAAATATGTCAAGACGCGTGAAATTGCTGCTCTCATAGTATGTTATGAAACTACCACGGAAGTTAATAACTTACTCAAACTATTTCAGGAGTTGTTCAAATTTAATTAACACGAGCATGTTATTATACCACAATAATTTCCTCATTGTTGAACAGTTCATGAATTTTCAACCACTTCGGCTATTTTTACGCCTTTGACTTAATCTGATTAGACATCTAGAATATAATACCTAGTTTTCTCATAATAGATGTTTAATGTTTAGCTAAATGTTTAACAGAAAGAAAAGAATGAACTTTCTTTGGGACTAAAACATCAAATTATCATTTGTGAAATGTTACTCAATATATTATCGTTTTACATATTAGTCATCATTCTATACAAGAAAAACTTGAGTATGCTTTGCCTCTTGTTTATCATACGAACATAAACCACAGAAACAATTTTCAAAGAAATTTATAGGTTTATACAAATATGTAATGTGTAAGATAATATATATATATATAAAAAAAATATGTCTTCCGCATGTCCTTTCATCAAAGATATTTGATATATTGCATAAATTTGTTTAAAATCAATTACATCTTAGATTCTTATTGTTCTAAGTAGAAAAACGTTATTCCAACTGTAACAATTTTACCTCCAATCATACATATTTATACAAATATGCTATAATGAAAACACAATTTTCATAACACAATCTTGAATAAGTCATACTTTTTATCTTCTACAATCTCTCTTAAATCATGAGAGAGTTTAAAAAAAATGATCATAGAGTAACATATAATCATGTGCTTGCTAAGTGTGATATATATATATATATATATATATACATATATATAAAATTGGAAAATATTTCTTAGCATGAATTTAATATTTTTCTATGTAAATTACATTTATACTTCACTAAATGATTGTGCATGCATCAACACTTTTCAATTTTCTATCAAATAAGTTTATTCTGTTCAATATGAAGAATCTATGTCTCTTATAATCTTCAAACTTTAAAGATGTGTGTTATAGCGAAGTGAAAAGATTTAGTTCAAAATCCTAGATACTTAAACAAAAAGTTACCGAGAATCACACAATAATTTCATTAGACAGTAAACACAATAAGATATGTGGTTCATTCTTGTATCTACATGCAAGGTAAGTCAAACACTCAAGCTGTATAGTGATTAGGCCTAGGAAAGGTAAGGTAAAAGGTAACCGGCTAATGCATGGGCCTTTACATTTACCTTGTATTTTTTCTAATTTGCGCCACTACTGTTTACCTTTACCATTTACCTCTACCTCAGAGTAATTACTCGGTTACCTCATACGGAATCTTAAAAGTTATCCTTATTGGTTAACCTTTTAGAGTTATCCAGTAAATCTACCTTTTAGGGCAAAAGATAAAGGTAATAGTGTAAATTATTCATTTAGTAAACTGTAGACTCGCCAACCGTGCCATGAAACTACATAACAATGAGTACATCATGTTCAAAGGAGTCTTTACACTACTCAATGCAGGCGTACTTGAAGATGTATGTGTCGATCTCCTTCATCCATCTCCGCCCTTCTCCGCTCGAGTCATATAAATTAGAAAAGAAGCGAGGGGATATGGACAATCTATAAGAAAAGAGAGAGAAATCATTTGTGTGCATTGAAGTTATCATGTCATGGTCCGATAGAGCTGTAGAATTTTGAATAGAGTAAAAAGTAGTAAAATTTTGAATAGATTTAAGAGTGCAATTAGACATAATCATGAGAAGTCAGTTTCTATACATGTATGTGTTTGCTAAAGAAAGAAATGTATTTCGAACTACAAAAAGATCTTGCATGGGCAAAAAATAGTTAACAAACGATTTAGATGTAGATTAGGGATAGGATAGCGAAGCTACTAATTTCACAAAGGGGATTGCCAGGTAATGAAGTGAACACTGACAATGAATTTTAACTCCTACAAGTTTCATGTTCTTTCACGTTGCATTATAAAAGCCTTTAAAATGCCACGTGAAGGAAAATGCAACTTGATCGAAGATATAACAAGCAACTTGATCACTGAAAATGTCCAAGAAAACTAGAGACTTTACGGTATAATTTATTGAAAAAAACGGTAAATGAGTCATTTGACTAGAGAAAATGAAAGACATTAATATCTAAGTATACAAAACACAGCAACATGCAATGTAAATACAATAGTCGAAAGAATACTAGAAGTAGAATTGTTTATACGCAAAATCACAAGCATACAATGAAACAATACACTATTATGACGTTGAAAATCTAAGCTTTGACTGTGAAGTTTACAATTTCTGAAAGAGGTACTAGAGAAAGTGAATGATTTCTCTCAAACGAAAGGAATCTTTGGTGCTTGACAGTGAGAAATGGGATTGTCTAGTGTTTGAATCAAGGTTAATGTGTATCCTACGACTAATTTCAAAAAGCATAAAAATATCGAGAGGAATTGGATAACCTCTTATACAGTTACAACATGGACAGTGATAATCAGTGATAAATCATGACATGATTGACACAATATTCATTGTGGTAGCAACAAATAGAAGTAGATAAGACATGGTGTACTATCTTAATGAGGTGATAAATCATGACATGATTGACACAATATTCATTGTGGTAGCAACAAATAGAAGTAGATAAGACATGGTGTACTATCTTAATGAGGTGTCTGCATTGGTAAACACCAATATTATTCATCAACTTCAACATTGGGTTGCACATGTTCAACTTAAATTGTGTTGATTAGTATGACCTGTCCCAACCCGAAGACGATAGACCCCATGCCCTTGCTCAGTGGGCTAGTTTAAAGAGAAG